AAGTTACTACTTATCCCTTATACCTATTCACTCTGATTTAGGTCTCAATTCGATAAATCGTAGATAGAGGAATCCCAATTTGCTACAATTATTTTATATTGCTACTTACATGGGGTTTTACGTATACAATTACACCGCGAACTATTATCAGATGGCTTAATTTTATAAAATGTAGCTAGCAGATTAGTAAAATTGATGAGGCTAATCAAAATTATTAGGATATTGAGGATATCGAGTTAAGCCTTGATTAATTAAATATTAGATCTACACTACTCATACCGCTAATGTGATTGTCATTACTTTTCGGATATTGCTTTCTGGATAGGAATCCGTACTATTACGACCCACTAGGAGAGCTTAGTGAGGCACACACCGAACCAAAAGGTTAATATGACTGCCGTTAGGCAGTCATGCTCTCCCACCACATAAAGTAGCGCACTCTTCCAGGTCACGTGACCACCACCATCGTGTACTATATTCAGCGCAGTTCTGTCAAACCATGATGGTTCTGACAGCGTTAAAAGTCGGGTTTTATAGCCAATTAATACAGGTGGAAGTGGTGTGTGTTCACTCCGTATTAACTTCATAATGAGTCTATGGCTAGTATAAAAATTGTTGGAACCACCATGGTTTGACAGGACTTTGCTGGTTAGACAGAGTGGGTGGTGAGAGAGCATGACTGCCGTTAGGCAGTCATAGTAGCCTCGTTGATTTACGTCAGACTTTTCTAAACTCTCTTAGCTTACTTAGATCTAGAACAGCCCTTCTATCTTCTATTCATTATATCTTAACCATGCCGTAGGCTGTCCGCCTGGCAACAGGCATGTTTGTCTGTTATATCTGCCCTTTCTTTGGAAGTTTGCATAGGCTGTAAGTTGTGGATATATGAAACTCTAACCACTCAATTCTACTATGTGTATATAAAACCTTGATAAATAGTCTAATCTGGAAGTACCTTGGGTTTAAACAGGCGATATTTACAGGGGTAAGCTGTAAAACTGGGAGGTCTAAGGAAACCTCTACTCCTGTATGTATAATCCCTCTGTATACTAGAGTACTTCCTTTTTTCTGAAGGATTACTTTCAATTACAGTACCACGTTATTGCTATTTCCTTGTTTCATCTTCCACCATATCCCCACTATCTGATAGAATAGTTATCTGGTAAAATGTACAGCTATCATGTGCACGGTACCTCAGTACGATAAAAAACAGAGGTACCCATTATATCTGGATAGCCTCAGCGTCCAGAAAGACGGGTCATAGGTGAGCAGATTGAATAGTAGAGAATATATAATGCGCGCGCGTGATTCAGTTACCTACTCTAGTGGAGGCCCATGAATGTGGCGAGACTGCCACCTCATGAACGATAGACCATCGAGCTAGTATGGTATGCCCCAGTCTATCTAGCTTGGACGGGGGCTTCCGATTCAGCCACAGCGTACTGAATCAGGGGCTCAACATCTGGACCAACAAGCGAAAAATAGGAGAGAAAGACAAGATACATCAGAGTAAAGCGAATGAGATGTAGCATGTTCAATCCTTTATCAGTGGCACTCTATACAAGCCTATGACCCCGGTTGTATTGCTCATCCAGATTGTTACCCGTATCATGTCAGCCATCAACGCTTCCAAGGTTGTCAGGGTGCATGCGGTGTGGCCCCGCTTGGTGTAGCCCCTAACATCCGGATGATTACCTGAGTAGATCCTGCATCTGATGGCTATCGGGATTTTCCGGATTCCAGTAAGATTGAGTTCTGGGGTTGAGAATGTCTACAGCCTTTGCCTTTGACAAGCTTAATTAGAATATGCGCTGTTTATATATTTCGATGGGGTCATCAGGGTTATCTTATAACGCACAACGTATAAAGCTGGTACTTCTTCATAGGCGCGTTGCCCCCGACATTCGGGGGGGGGGGGGGGGGGTAAAGTCTCACAAACCCATGGCAACAAGCATGAAAAAGTCCCTGATACTCAAAGTCATGTCATTTAGCATTCAGTGTTTCATCATACATGTGAAGACATCCCCATTATGTGATGGTAGTAGATTTAGAGGTCAGGTCACGCGATCATTGGGAACAAGAACCAATAACTTGAACAATGTGCACGAGTAAAAAAGCCTGGCAGGTTGAAATGCAAAACCAGCCAATTGACGAATGAGGTAGCGACGTGAGCTCCAGGCAATTGACGCAATTCAGCGCTTATTAGGCAACCACCAGGAATGAGTCATGGGCCAATCCACCGAATGACTCCAAAGAAACGGACTTGAAGGGAGAAAATAAGGGACCTTTACCGCGATAGCAATCCCATACAAAGATAAGAAGATACTATCCATTCCAAGAACTTAAGTTCCAAAAGGAAGACAAGCAAGACAGAGAGAGAGAGAGAGGAAGAGATAAGATCTACCTATCAGGTGACTGCCCGCATGTCATGTGGATTGGGCAGCTGAACGGACGTCATTGCTCTGGTGACTGGACTGCGCCCCTTCTTTCTGGTCTTCTTGTCTCTGCGCTTATACGCTCTGACTCTCGTTTTGGTCCCATGAGCCTGATCATCTTCAAGACTCGGACTCCTCCCCCCCCCGCAAATACCCTGACTCACTTTGTTTTCTTTTAATCCCCCCTCTTTTCCCTTAGTCTCCCCCTTTCATTTTATATCTTTCTTCTGGTTGCCTGTTCAATGCTCCCTGTTCTCTCCCCCACTCATCATCTTGACTCATCTTCGGCAATTGTAGCCTTAACGCCGAGACTTGGGCTTATCGCCACCCAAATCCCCCTCCAAGGAAGACAAAGAGAGGCTGCCCTGACAAATCATCTGGCTTTGCCTGATTCATTTCCATTGACTTCTTCCCACACTCGCCAGCTCTCTTCATCTTCTTTTCCATCTCTCTGATCCTTCCTTCCCCTCCCTCCCTCTTAACCCCTCCCCCATTGAATACTGGACATATCTCTTGACCGACTTAACTTAAACTTACGAAATTGAATACGACTTACCGACTTACCACTTGATCACTTTACCAACTTACCACCTGGTATTTTACTTGGAAATGACCTCATCTGCGGCTGCCTGGCCTGCGGGCAAAGATTCAAACATGAATCGTCTCCCCTCTGTCTCTAGTCTCATGTCACCCCCCGAAATTAAACCCCTCGAGACTTTCTCGGCTGCTCGTTCCCCGTTTGCAAAGCCTCGAGATTCCTCCATTGGTGACATAAAGCTTCCACCCATCTCAGCTGATCGAAAGCGGACGCAGTCAGAGATGGATCTTCCATCGCCACCTGTGACCCCGTACACAGGAAACAAGAAATCCAAGTCACAGACATCTGACCCTATCGAAAGAGACGGATCCTCTAGGGATCCTGTTCTCTTTCCTCGCCAGGATTCTATTACTGATGTTACTACCGATGAACCGCTTTTTGGTCCCGTCAACCCTACCGCAGAGGCTCTCATGGAGCAACACATTAATTCTCACATGGCGAGGTTTGCAAACAAAGTGAATAAACCCACCAGGGGCGAATATCTCCTGGCGCTCTCTTGTGTCCCTATCGTCTCGACCCAGTACAACCGCAACCCGGCTGCCTGGGCCCGTGAGGAGCGGGAGACACTGGAGCGCCAGTTGGTGATGATGAACCGTTACCGACCAGACTACGAACCCAAATTGAAGAAGATTGCTCCTGCCCCCAAGAAGTTGGGAACTCAGCCTCGTGTGCAGCGGACCCGAGTCAAGCGCACCCCCAAATCTACCCCCAAGCAACAGGCGCTCGATACTTTTGACTCCCCCCCAATGTCAGTCTCCAAGCCACGTGCCCTAGGCACAAACAGGGATGACACAGATTTCCATTCCCTCCCGGACTTTTCGCCTCCACTGGAAACGCTAGGCAGCAATGCCAAAGCGCTGAAAGCCGATTGGAAAGGGCAGATGTTGGATCTGAGCAATGACCCGGACAGACATCTTCTTAGTCCCGCCGAGCTCAACCTTGCTTCTACTCTTAGACTGTCTTGTGCCACATACCTCTGCAGCAAACGCCGCATCTTTGACGCTCGACTTCGAGCCCTCAGTGTTGGCAAAGAGTTCCGCAAGACAGATGCTCAACAGGCTTGCAAGATTGATGTCAACAAAGCAAGCAAGCTTTGGACTGCTTACGAACGTGTGGGCTGGTTCAAACCTGAATACTTCCATGAACATTTGAATTGATCTTACAAGCCTGGTGGCATTCTCCTATGGGTCACGCAATGCAGAGTTCATCATGTTGACTCTCCTCTCCCCATGCGCCCGACTAGTCCAATTTCCCAGGCTGACAACACAGCATCTGCAACCCGGTAATTCAATTTCGGTCTATGCCAGTGGCAGCAACCTTGCACTTGCACAATGATTTCTGCGATCCTCTTGGGTTGTTTTCAATTGCTCTCATGCTCATGACATCTCACGATACACTCTTTCCTTTGACTTTCGCCTTTCAATTCCCAAGATTCCCCATGCTTTTGTTTGATTTTGCATCCAGACATTCCTGTTTACTGGATTTCTCATTTCCTCTTGCGGTCGCAGGTCCTGGTGTTCGGCGTTGTTTACAGTTTCACATTGGTCTAGAATGGTAGGCTCGGTTAGCCATTGGTGTCACTGTTTCTATGCGTTTATTGAATTGCTTTCTTTGCTTTTTTTTGCCTTCCGGCCCTTTTCAGATGGCAGCACATAGGATAAGGCTTGATACCCTGACCGGATATGGTTTTCCTGACATTTGTCTATTGCATGAATTGAATTGATCTGACTTGACCTGACATAAAATGCTTTGTAAAAATCCGTAATCAGTGACTCCCAAGAGCCGAAGAGCCGAAGATCGTGTTCTATTAAAAAGTTACTAAAGCGGTGGGGCGCAATCAACGCCATCTGCCGCCCGGCGCCACCTTTTTCTGACGTCTCCCTGCTCTTATCACTCTTCGCTCTATTCACTTCACTTCAAAGAACATCACCCCCTTCCCTCCCTTATTACTTTGGTAATTTGAAGCCATGTCTCAGGCCGAGGCAACTCGAACTGAATCCATTGAGGATCAAGAGCGTGCAAGGGAAGAGGAGTCTGACAAGAAGCCCAAGTCTCGTCGCCCAGCCAGTACGTTCTCTTCAGATATCTCTTCTTTTTCTATAATTGACTTGTACTAGACACTGCATTTCGCCAGCAACGCTTGAAAGCATGGCAGTGAGTTTGAAAGATAACTTTGCTACCCCTGGACAACCTTGCTGACGTCCTCAGACCGATCTTGACCCCTAAAAGCGTTCTTCCTCTCTTCTTCATAGTCGGCATTATATTTGCTCCGATTGGGGGTGTTCTTATTTGGGCGAGCTCTCTGGTACGCTTCTAATTTTGATTCCGGCCTTGATAGAATGATCGCTTATCTGTATCCACGCGTGTGCTTTTCAGGTCCAAGAGATTTCCATCGATTACTCCGACTGTCACACTGCGGCCCCATATGGAAACCAGGCCTATGTTCCAAAATACTCTGCGACATTCAAAAACGAGCTTTCAACACCGCCTACCTGGGAACGACACAACGATAGCTCCGGAGCCACCGTCTGCACGCTCTACTTCACCCTTCCGAATGACCTTCCAGCACCCGTTTTCATGTACTATCGTCTTACCAATTTCTATCAGAATCATCGCCGATATGTCCAATCGCTTGACCTTAATCAGTTAAAGGGCGACGCTGTATCCTACAACACACTCAAAGGAGGCACTTGTGACCCTTTGGCGACCGATGGGGAGGCAAAGAAAGCGTATTACCCGTGTGGATTGATTGCGAACTCGATGTTTAACGATACTATTGGCGAACCAAATATCCTGTCGGGGTCCGGAAGTAACAGCAACCCGGAAACGTATCCCATGACCAAGAAAGGGATCGCGTGGGATAGTGACAAGAAGCTCATCAAGCAGACAAAATACCAACCAGGAGAGGTTTTGCCCCCACAGAATTGGGCCAAGTACAACGGTACTTACACAACGATCCCCAATCTCGAGGAAGATGAGGACTTTATGGTATGGATGAGAACTGCCGGCTTGCCATCATTTAGCAAGCTCTCTCGCCGAAACGATAATACTACGATGAAACAAGGCTCTTATTCTCTGGACATTGTTCACAGTATGTCATCTAGTCGATTATATTTGACTATATAGTTTTGCTAACTATCAGCCAGGGTTTCCCGTCACTGAATACGATGGAACCAAGTCGATTTTGATCTCTACTCGGACAGTCCTTGGTGGCAAAAACCCTTTCATGGGAATCGCCTATGTGGCGGTTGGTGGAGTGTGTGTTCTCCTCGGGGCATTGTTCACTGTTGCGCATCTGGTGCGACCGCGGTATGTTTATTACCAGTTTCCACGAAGGAAAAGTACTAACATCTTGCAGGAAATTGGGTGACCATACTTATCTTACATGGGATTCAAATCAGCCGAGCACTGCTACCACGACGGGACGAGAAGATCACGCTTGAACCGAGTCTTGTCTTTTTTAATTTTATTTCTTCATTCGTTTGCCTTCGGTGTTTTGTTCGCAATGTTTCTTGTTCAATGGGTCAATGCTGTAAATAGTTGGGAACTCTGAGGATATGGAGTTTAGCAAGGTGTTTTCCTCCCAAATGTATCTAACTTGATTGCAGATACTCCAAATACAACATTCTTTCTGTTCTCTTCCTGCCTTGGGTGACCTCATCCCGCTTCTTAAGACCTGGTCGGAATCTCACCCATGCCAATCGTCTTTCACTCTGTCAATTCTTCCACGCTGATCTTCCGCATGCTCAAAACATCCCTTGCTTGAGACGTGCATTCTTGCATGACGCAGCATTCCGCCAGATCATGGAATCAGGCCATGTTTAGGGTTGAGCACACTCACTAATAAGCCCGAAGGACCACTGCGCTGCCATGTTCCAATTGATCCCTTTTAGCCCTTCTTTTCCCGGCCCCTATTCGACAGGTGTGACGAGGTAACGCCAAAACCACAGGAGCTTCCAACACCAGCAACATGGTCTGTCACTCTTTTTTCCAGCTCGTGGTCTTTGTCACATCCCTATTCCTGCAGGTTCAGTGCAGTCCCCTGACCATTCAGAAGCGTGGTGCCTGCGCCACCGAAGATCCAGACGCAGTCTTCCTCAATGAAATCGGTCGCTTGAAGTCAGATGAAGTCAAACCTATCAATTCCCAAGCCCGGAAAAGCCCTATTGAGATTGAAACCTTTTTCCATATCATAAGCAGCAAGGCTGAGTCGACGCAGGTTTCCGATGACATGATCAATGCCCAAGTCAGTTTCTAAGACCCCGAGTATCGCTACACCATCTTTTATTAATGTGTGCCTCAGATTTCTATCTTGCAACAGTCGTATGCAGACTCTGATATCTCCTTTCGCTTGCGAGATGTTATTCGCCATGTGAATGATGAGTGGGCTCGTAATGGGGATGATATTGCGATGAAGACTGCACTTCGCAAAGGAACTTACCAAACCTTGAATGTTTATTTCCAAACAGACTTACAGGCGTCCCCTGGGCAATCTGGGCGTGCAATGGGAAACCGGGGTGCAAGCGTTAATAATGATCTGGCATCCAGTGTTTTGGGTTTTTGTACCTTGCCCGACCCAAGTGTTAATGCCAGCAGCCCTGCTTCCGATTATGTGAAGGATGGCTGTAATGTTCTGGCAAAGACGATGCCTGGTGGCTCACTGGATTTATACAACCGAGGAGGAACAGCCATTCACGAAATCGGACATTGGAATGGCCTCCTGCACACCTTTCAAGGGGAATCTTGCTCAGCGGACAATCCTGGAGACTACATCAACGATACACCCCAGCAATCTACGCCTACAGACGGTTGCCCTGCTAGAAAGGACTCCTGCCCAGACTCCCCTGGACTAGATGCAGTACATGACTTCATGGACTATTCATCAGATGTATGTTATGAGCGCTTCACACCCGGACAGGGACAACGCATGCGAAGCATGTGGGCCTCGATGCGACAAGGGAAGTAGTGCACTGGATACTCGCATTCAATTTTCAATTGTACAAGTTACATTATTAGGGCTAAGCTGCGCACTTCCTGCTTCTTGGTTGCTTCAAAACCGAATGAATGCTACTTGTCAAATTTTCACCCCTTCAAACAGATTGATGCATGACCAGTTTTTAAATTACAGCTAAGAGTTCTGCTTTCTCCTGATTAACTACCATAAAACTCTAGGACCTTAGGTTCAAAGTAAGATCGCCCGACCCCATTCGATGAAAACCACGAGGGGGCTAGACGCAAGGCGAGAGGACCCAGCCCACCGGAACCCAGGAAACCGGACAAAGAAAGATAAAGAAAAAGACGAGAAAAGGCAGAGAACAAAAAGAACAAAAAAAAGTAAGAAAGTCATTTCACGCAAGAAAGACCCAGGATTCATCATCACTTAGCGCTTCCGCTTGGTTCCACGATCGTCCTCAAGGTTGGTCTCCTTGTCCTTGCGTTTGGCCTTTTCCTCAAGCTCGTCCCAGTCCTCGCCACTCTCCTCGTCACCGCTGAAATCTTCTTCACTGGCATCAGCACTAGCGTCGTCATCGAACTCGCTGTCTTCCTCGGAGCTTTCGTCTCCAGCTGCAAGCTCCGAATCGGACAACTCGAAAGCAGACTCCTCTTCCTCATCTGAACCATTCTCGGAGTCCGATTCAGCGGACAAGAAGGACCATCCGCCATCAGCAAAGAAGCCGTAGGGATCACTGACAACCGTTTTCATGATAGTCGTCCAGTTCAGATTCAGTGGACCTTCAGTGAAGGCGATATCAACAGAGTCAAGCCAGTCCTTTACGCCTTCTAGTGCTTCGACGGGAATTGTGTTGATATGCACAGGGGATCTGCGGAAATCCTTGAAAACGAAGACAAGGTCGAAGTTTTTGAGTCCGAACTATTTCTTGTTAGTGGTCATGTTTCAGTGTGTTAAGACAAGCTATAACAATTACCTGTACTCTTTCCAGATGAGCAATCTCAATCTCATTCAATGTAACAACCGTGAAAGGAGGCTCAGTAAGTTGAACCAAGGCATCGGTAGTCGGTTGAATCAACACATTTGAGCGGTTGGGAACTCCGGTAAAACCAATCTCCCTGAAGGGAATATCGACATCAACGCCTTCGTCTTTACCGGCGTCTGCGACCTTCTCCGCAAAGGCCTTGAACTCACGGTCCAATGCAGCTCGTCGCCGTCTCTCCTCTTGCTCGGCCTCAAACTCTTCCTCGTCTCCATAGCGGTGCTTGCGGCGACGGTTTCCAGTTTCATCGAATTGCATCTCTGTGGCCTCGCGGTAGAACTGAATGTCTTTCGTCTTTCTCTTTCCAATCATGATGGGCGTCTTGAGATGGACATGAATCAGGACGATCAATTCATGAGCACAGGGTTGGAAGAAAAGATGCTTGACGTTGCTGAAGAGCACATCTACATGCTCATTGCGGAACGGCGAGAGATAGCGGAGACCGTTTTGGTGGATCTCGACCTCTCCCGGCACACGCTTTCCATCCAATGGCGGGCGAAGGTAGACATCAGGGAGTTTGACAGGACGGCGATTCCTGATCTCCACCAACTTATCCTGCTCGACGACATCTTCCATTTCCTTCTTTTCCTGTTCGCGTCTGAGAGCAGTTTTGCGAAGCTCCGTAATGTCTTGTGCAACTCGCGCGAGCCGGTCATTGTCCTTAGATCGAAGGGTGAGGTTTCGAACAAAGTGAGCCGACAAATCCTCGAACGGTTGATCATCCTTTCGGCCAACACCTTGGCCCGGTGATAGGAAGTTGATTCGTAGATAAGCATACTCTCCCTCGTCGCTTTTGCTGGCGTTTTTGATGGTATTGATATGGAATGGCACCGGTCGACCCATGATGGGCACAATCACAGTTGATGTTTTTGAATCAACATACACGGTGAGATCTTTGACCTTAGCTGGAAGTTGGTTGTCACGTTTGTAGGACTCAAAACGCTTAAACTTTTTCTGTGCAACTCCATTGTCATCGCCAGTAGCCCCAGTGAATCGATCAAGACCTTCTTTGGTTTTCTTAGAAGCCAGTTCCTTTTGGTGCTCACGGCGACGGGCTTCTGCGCCTTCGTTCACCTGAGTAGGTCTCTCAGCGCGGAGCTTGGTCCTTGTCACGTTCCGACTTGCGATGGCGTTGGACTTAGATTCTTTCTTCTGCTTGACGGGCTTTTCGGGCTCTTCGTCATCGCCAAAGTAGAATGAGATTGAGTCCATATCAATGCCAGCATCTTTGGTGAAAATATGAGGACCACTTTCCCCAACACGAACAGTGTCGGTGATGACCATTGAGTAACTACCATTTTTGTTGCTCTTCGCATCGGTATCCTTGACATCAGTCAAGCCGATGGTAATAGACAAGGTCATGCCGTTCTTCAGAACACGGTTGTTTTTGGCATTGAGGACCATGTTGGAATCCCGAAGCTCGATTCCAATCCCAGCGCCAATGTTCTTGACAAAGTGGCTCTCAAGCTCGGGCTTCTTGGACCGAACAAGGCTCAGAGCTTTAGCGTAGATGTCCTTGGCAACCACACCATCTCGGATTTCTTTCATGATTGTTTCATGTAAGCTTAAAAGCAAAGCGTAGTTATTTTCTTGAGATTTTGTGGGATCGACCAGATAGGTACGCGCAATGAGCGAGCTGTAAGTCTTGTATCTGATTCCGAAGCTGGATAGGATGATACCTGGCTCAAGGTTCTTGCCGTCAGATGTTGCTGTCAATTTAAGGTCGTAGTTGCCTCCGCTTTGGATCACAGGACCGTAGGCCCAATCAATCTGCCGAGCATCAAATTCTGATGGCAGTCGTGCTAGCTTGTTGAAAAACTTCGGTTCGTCAATTTTGGCATCAACCTTTGCAGCAAGAGCCTTGTGCGTCATTTTCTTTTCTTCGTCAAGCAGTCGTGACATTTCATCAACGAAGTATTCTGACATGAGGCCACTGCATGCCCTGGAAGCATTGCGGATAGACACCTTTGACACACGTTAGTCAAATCCACTAATCTAGCACATTGACAGATGTTTCACAAACCAGTTCGTCGGAGTCTTTGATCGAAAAAGCAGCAGAAAGCGCTGGCGTAATATCAACCTCCTCCACTTCTTTCGAAACTTCCGCAAACACACGCTTCCACTCATCTGCGAAGGGTCCAGAGGTTGTGTCCTTGGTTAAGGTTCCGACTTTGCCCTATTGTTGCTCTCTTGGTTAGTAACAGAGAAATGAATCTGGAACGGTGGCTTTTGGGGAAATCCCTCTGGTGAACACTCACGCCCGCTCCCTTGATGACATCCAAGCACTTCTCAAATGCCTTGGTCTTTGACTCTGGCTCTTTGGTGGTAACCAAAATCTCGACTGGGATCTTCCCTCCTTTCAGCGGCTCCAGATGTTTTGCTAGAATCGAGACCTATCAGAAATGGAGCTCATTTCGAGAAAAGCGTAGTATGATACCTTTTTTGGCTGTGGTGACAACATAGATTGCTTCTGTTGTGAGGACGAACAGTGTGGCTGGAAATTCATACCCGAGCAGCCAAAACTAAAGTTGTGTTAGCGAGACCTCAATGCTCCTGATATATCTCAGATACATCGTTGGACATAACAAGACATATCACATACATGCATGGCATTGTTCTTCTGAAATGAGTTTTCCTCATCGGTCTTGCCCATGAGGATGACTATGGACCCTGCATTGCCGAAGAGTGCATTTCCCGAGCGTTTATCAGCCTTCCATGAGGCATAGAAACTGGAAAGACGATTAAAGAAGTTGTTATTATCAATGGCGATCTCCTCTGCCATGGTTGCGGTCTGTTGCGAGCAAGATTTGCCGCAACAAGAGACTGGGGTGACGGTAGAGAAGCTAGCTCAGGAGAGGCAAGAGCTTTGATTGACGGAAAAATTGTAAAGTTAGATTGAGAATCAAAGTAGATGGAAGAAATGAAACTGCATCGATGCTGTAGACATCAATGGAGAGGAGAGATGAAGATGGGAAGTGAAAGCTAGCTAGCAAGCGACGCGAAAAGCGCGTTTTTACGTTGTAGGCCTCACTGGGTTGCCGTGTCAAAGTATTTCCTCTTTGGGCCTAGCCTATCTTTTCTGCCACTAGCTTCCGTTCATGTCTCTTGATCTATTTGCTCACTTGTGCTTGTTTGGTTCTCTGTTGACTGTTCACCTTTCTTTCTATCTATTTCTCGGCAAAAATGTCAAGTGTGAGCTTTGACTCGGCTCTTCAAATTAGATATCAACACCTCTGATGCTGCTATTCTATATCCACTTACACCCTATCGAACTATCTCCCTGACCCCGACCAAATTTCACTGAGAAAGAAAGTCTTCATTCTCCCTCGACTTCTTGCGATGTTTACTGGTGGCTTTGATTGGATTTGAACAATGTCCTCCTCTATTTCTCCAATCATTGAGCCTAATTACGGTGAGCCGGGAAGCCCACGGCGGATTTCCCGCAACGATGCAGCTACCGGTGCATCTGCTGCAGGTGTCCGGGCTTTGAGTGCGCAGATGGTAGCTTTCTATTTCAGAGCGCCAATCAAAGCTTTTTTTCGTACACGTGTTGAGTAAGCGACTTACATGAATGTCCTTGACGATACTTGTTCTAACATAGCCCAGCTACATGGTATCTATCTCCTCCAACAATCCGCGATAAGTCAGAGACCCAGTCAACTAATCACTAGCTCTTGGTGTGCTCTTATTGAAACAGGCATTTGCAAGAGCTGTGAATCCTCGTGTTGCCGAAGGCAAATGGTCTCTTCATACGACAACGCCGGGGTTGTTACTCCATGCTGTAAGGACATATGGCTGGCGCTTTATCCCTAACCAAGTCCTACCACCTTTGATGGCAAACGCAGGGTGAGTCGATCATACCTTTTACCTCTCGTATATCTGAAGCTCTAATATGACGCCAAAAGGGTTGGTGCGGTCCTTTACACGTCTTATCTTCAGGTCTTAGGCGCTCTTCATGAACCTGTGTCTCAGGGAGTCAAGCGAGTCTGGCCCCCAGCTCCTCCCTCTGCAACATTTGCTGCTGGTTTCACCGCTGGAACTATTCAATCCATTGTTGCTGCCCCTTTGGACGCCTTGCAGGTTCGGTTACAAACAAAGGACATGTTAAAGGGCCAATATCGAAGCATGTGGCATTACGGCCATGAAAAGCTCAAGCAAATTGGTCCTCGCGGGGTATTTGCAGGCTGGGGTCTTTCATTTCTCCGAGATTCCTTTGGATATGCAATTTTCTTCTCTTCGTTTGAGTACATCAAGTCGCAATCCTACTATTCTTTCGTCACTTGGTACTACGGGTCTTTACAATCCAAGCATGTGGACATGCTTCCATCATCGGGGTCCAGCGACCGTGGAGTACCCCTGATCAAACCTCACTATGCCCTGGAGCCTTGCTTCCTAATGATGGCTGGTGTTGTGGCATCGATTGCTCAGCAAGCCATACAGCACCCTTTAAGCCGAGTTCAGGATCTTCATCTAGGTCGTCTGGAGTATCTGGATCACCAGGCCAGTCTCATCCCGTCACGACAAAGAATGATGCAACTCTACTATCATGCGTACCAAGAGACTTTCAAGAGGTGCGAGCGAAAGGCCCTGCGGGCTGGCGGCTGGGGGCGCTGGCTGTTCCGTGGTTTTATTGGAAGATCTATTCGCCAAGTTCCCAGCACCAGTGCCGGTCTGGTGATCTTTGAGTTGGTTCGCCGACGTTATGCCAGTTTGGCGGATGCTGTTCATATCCAGAGCGATGGATATGACATTCTTCTCACGTAGAAGCTCCCTGCCTGCAAAATCCTCGATTTCGACCATTCGCAAGAGAATCGCGACTTTGTATAGCTATATATGATACCCTGTTTTTCGTGCCCAGGCCTGTGTAAATAAGAAACATCCCCGATATATATCTTGCGACATGAGGTTGTATTGTTTTTCTCTGTCTTCGTCTCACGTTGATCCCCAAAAGTAAGAACTTGTTTATATGAAGTGTGAAGTGTAAGGTGTAGAGTATGGAGGATGGCGTGAATAGGTGGATACCATAAACAGTAACGGAAGCGTCGATCCCTCCCCGGATTAGAGGCACTCGATACGTATGCGTTCATATACGAAGCTCTCCCCTTTTTATTTCCTCTCCAGATCTTTTCCCTTTTCACATTGTTCATACAAAAGCCCTAAGTGTTCCTCGGATTATATATCATCTCTCAGGGTATTCTTTTGCGTAGAGAAAAGCCCAAACGCATCCCCCCTCTCCGGATCTCCGCCTGACCACTCTGAACCCCGACATCTTGCGTCGATCCCGTGCGACTTGTCTTTACAACATCGCCTAAGTGGCGTCGCCCTATTGCGACTAGTTCATCGCTGACTCCTTGCGGAGAAACCCTGGATCCTTTGTCGATATAATTTCTTAGTTCCCTGACATTCTTTTTTCCGGTTCAAGGGCTGATATCAGCCCGTCACCGCCATCATTCCAACCATCTCCTCCCCACGCGCCTCCAACATACCCCTCCGCTCCCTGTACTCCGATCCCCACTCACAACCAGCTGTGATAGATTCCGCCAGTGAAAAAGGCAGCCGACGATCATCTCGCTCGTCTGCTCGCTCGGTTGAGTCTGGCTACTCCATCTGGTCAGATACCGGCGACCTTGGCGAGCAGTTTGCCGAGGATCCGCTTCAAGATCGCTTTCGCGAATCTTTGAACCGCGAGCTTCTAGGCCGAAGAGAGCGAAGAAAACAGAGACACGTACATTATCAGACAGACGAAGGCGAACAGGAACGTTCTGGCATTGATACTGAGAAAATACGAATACCAAAACCACCACCGCGACACATTTCAAGAGCTGAACGTGTGTTGGCAAAGATCATGTCACCCAGAAGCGGGCAGAATGCCCAAATACATGGCTTAGTCGGAAAGCCATTACTGTAAGTCTTGGATCTGAATAAAGTATACCAACCTCGCTGACTTTAGTATGCGTTGAGCTATTTCACGAGTGTATTTGTTTCTTTGGGTGTATTCCTTTTTGGATATGATCAGGGTGTGATGTCTGGAATCATAACGTTCGTGTGTCCCTTTTGTTCTAACCCTCGATCCTCATTTCACTGTACCTGATCAGAGCGTAGCTAACAAGTGCAGTGGCTTTCACTTCAAAGACTACTTCGACCAACCCTCCCGGGCTACCATTGGTACTCTTGTTGCAGTCCTTGAAGTTGGGGCCTTTATATCATCTCTCCTTGTGGGACGAATTGGTGATGTGATCGGTCGCCGAAGGACGATTCTCTATGGTTCTATCATATTTTTTGTTGGTGGTGCTTTCCAGACCTTTTCAAACGGCATTCCAATGATGATGGTCGGTCGTGTTATTGCTGGACTCGGCGTCGGTGCTCTTTCTACTATTGTGCCGGTTTATCAGTCTGAAATTTCGGTATTTAACCTATCATTTTTACCCATACACTTTGACCTTCAATATGCTAATCAGACCACAGCCCCCTCACAACCGTGGCAAACTTGCGTGCATCGAATTCACTGGAAATATAGCTGGATATGCAACTAGCGTGTGGGTGGATTACTTCTGTAGCTTCATTGATAATGACTACTCCTGGCGCCTCCCGCTGCTTTTCCAGTGCGTTATGGGTGCTTTACTTGGATTCGGTAGCTTGATTATCTGCGAATCACCCAGGTGAGCCGAAACAACATATTTCTTTTACTGTCACGCTGATAAACCTTCTCTCCAGGTGGCTTCTTGACAATGACCATGACGAAGAGGGTATGGTTGTGATTGCCAATCTCTATGGTGAAGGGGATCTACTCAATGACAAAGCCCGTCAAGAGTATCGTGAGATCAAAATGAATGTCCTTGTCCAGCGACAAGAAGGCGAGCGATCTTACTCTGACATGTTTCGTCGCTATCGCAAGCGTGTTTTGATCGCAATGTCGGCTCAAGCGCTTGCTCAGCTCAATGGAATCAACGTCATTTCATACTATGCTCCTCTTGTGTTTGAATCGGTACGAATGCCCTCTTCACTTGTGCAGATTGACCGCCTTGAACCATACTCACAAATGACCTGACTGATGCTAACGTGTATGCACTATAGGCTGGCTGGAGCGGCCGACAAGCGATCCTCATGACTGGAATCAATGGAATTTCCTATCTGCTGTCTACTATACCACCGTGGTATCTTGTGGATGGCTGGGGTAGGCGGCCTATTCTTCTTTCGGGTGCTGTGGCCATGATCATTTCGTTGTCTTTGATCTCTTATTTCATTTATATTGACATCACTGCAACTCCAACACTCACGGTCATATTTGTCATGGTCTACAATGCAGCCTTTGGTGCATCCTGGGGCCCAATTCCATGGCTATACCCACCCGAGATTCTTCCATTGAGCATCCGTGCCAAGGGTGCAAGCTTGAGTACTGCTTCGAATTGGGCGTTCAATTGGCTCGTGGGTGAGGTTACCCCGGTGCTTCAGGCTGCCATAAAGTGGCGGCTCTATTTGGTCCACGCATTCTTCTGCGCATGCAGCTTTGTGATAGGTAAGAGCCTGACAAACAAACAATTAACAAAGACCACGATATTGAGTTCTTTTTAGTCTACTTCCTGTATCCCGAAACCAGCGGAGTTCGTCTGGAAGATATGAATATCCTATTTGGCGATGCGTCCACCGCCATGCCTACACCTGCTACACAAGGTGAACGAGGGTCACTGATGGGCGCTGGATCACCCGTCCCCTCCCTTGACCTACGTCGACAATATGGTCAAGTCAGCACAGAAAATGCCATTCCTGGCCTAGACATTGACCCGCCAACACCGTCCCAAGACGGCCCCATCAAGCGTGGACGCTCGAACTCACGACAGGGCAATGCTCGAGAAGAAGGCATCGGTGGCTGGATATCGAGCATGGTCAAGCGAACCCGTGGATCGGGCCCTGGGGCTAGCAGCAGTCAGTATCGGCGCCTAGAGCAGGGAGGGGGTGATGAGCAATGAAATTAATTGCGGACAATCTCTGACTCTGCTTCGCGAGTGGGTGAAGGTGAACCAGTACACCTCGGTCGCATGCTCCGACTCTCTTGAACTTACTACACTTGTGCTACCGGCATGCATATATAAGTTGTCGCTGTCTCACCCCTTTACATTGCCTGATGTCAGCTTGAAGTATGGAATATAGGATTTGTAACTACTATAACGTTAGAGGATGCAGTATGTACCTTGACTGTTTATATTCTGTTTCAGGACTCTTCGCACAGGGACATTATTAGGCCTAGGTAGTTATGTATTTATTTCCCCTAATATGCTCCCTTGAAGTATACCGATAGTTGATTAGGATGAACCTGAATGTTGTACATAAATGTATCTATATCCTGCCCTTCCTAGAAATTATTTTAGAGCCAGACGCATGGGATCTTATAACTATTGCGGAACAATTGCAATCCATTTTCATCCAACAAGATAAAGTCAACGTAGAGAAGAATGTGAACGGAAGACAGGAGAAAGGGCCACGTTCTGAAAACGGCCCCGGGGCTAAAAGTGGACTGTTTATCCTGAGGCCACGGATCGCTCCTCATCTCTCTCTCTCTCTCTCTCCCCCATTCTCTCTTCGCCTTCGCCTTTTCCTTTCCATTTCTTTTTTTCTTTCTCATTATTGTTTGAATTACTTCAGCATTGCTTTCGGTGAGCCCGCTAGCTTTGCTCCTGTCCTACCACTCATTTGATTCGGGGATGGACATGTTCCATTGAACCATCCTCTCCTCTTTACCCCCGACTATTATCACGTCTTTTTTTTTAACCCACACCCTCTCTCATATTTATCCGACTACATTTGTCCATCGCAGCCCTCAGTAGGTTGAATCAATCCAGCGCGTATCATGGCGGGATTAGATACTGCTGTGAGCACAGGCGCCAAACATGACTCTGACCTGCGTCGGAGAAATGTCCATGGTACTGGCAAAAGCAACTCGGCGTCTCTTACAGAGACAGCCGACGAAGATGTGAAGAAATCCAGGCCCCAGGTAAAATTGATTCCAAGCCACTGAGGTACCTGCACTACTAAACTTCCTGGACAGTCCCCCTCATTCCTCCATGTGCTTGCTAGCTGGGAGCCAATCATTGCTCCTATCATTCTCATAGCCCTTGCACTTTTCACTCGTCTGTATCGAATCGGTCGCTCCAACATCGTTACGTGGGACGAGGCTCACTTCGGTAAATTCGGATCCCATTACCTCAAACGCGAGTTCTACTTCGATGTCCACCCGCCCCTGGGAAAGATGCTAGTTGGACTGTCTGGCTACCTTGCTGGTTACAATGGATCTTTTGAGTTCAAATCTGGTGAAAAATATCCAGAGGATGTGAACTATACCTTTATGCGAGCCTTCAATGCTGCTTTTGGTATCATTTGTGTCCCCTTGGCCTACTACACTGCCCGGGAGTTGAACCTTCGCCGAGCTGCCGTATGGCTGATCAGTCTTATGGTGCTATTTGAAAATTCTTATGCGACAATCTCTCGTTTCATCCTCCTTGACTCTATGCTTCTCTGCTTCACATTCACCACAACAATGTGCTGGGCGAGATTCCATCGCTTGCAAAATGCTAGCTTTTCACTAGAATGGTATACTTGGCTCTGCCTAACTGGTCTGAGCATTGGTTGTGTCTGCAGTGTCAAGTGGGTCGGCTTCTTCTGTACTGCGCTTGTGGGGTTGTATACCATTGATGATCTGTGGAACAAATTTGGCGATCTGAAGATGCCTCAGGTGAGTACCAGCTATCTCTTGGCTCTTGTATGTCTCAATTGAGTGAAAAACTAATATACTATGCCCCCGATAGACAGTTCTTGCGAAGCATTTGATTGCTCGTGTTGTGGGATTGATCACGATTCCAATTTTGGTCTACATGTTCTCCTTCTACCTACACTTTTTGGTGCTATCAAACAGTGGTCCGGGTGACGCCCAAATGAGCTCACTCTTCCAAGCCAACCTGCAAGGCACTGAGGTCGGTAGGGATAGTCCTCTTGAGCTTGCAATTGGATCGCGTATCACTTTGAAGAACATGGGTTATGGAGGAGGACTCTTGCACTCCCACGTCCAGACTTTCCCAGAGGGATCTATGCAGCAGCAGGTCACCTGTTACCACCACAAAGATGCGAACAATGACTGGTTCATCTACCCCAACCGACAGGAACCCGACTACGATGCCAATGCTGATCTGCGATTCGTTGGCGATGGCGATGTCATCCGACTTATCCATGGTCAGACTGGTCGCAACTTGCATTCTCATGCCATCCCTGCACCAATCACAAAGTCTCACCACGAAGTATCTTCTTATGGCAACATCACTATTGGCGACGAGAAAGACCACTGGAAGGTGGAAGTTGTTGATGATGTCGCCTCAAGGGACCGGTCCCGAATTCGAACTCTGACCACGGCATTCCGACTCCGCCATCCCGTCCTTGGATGCTATTTACGGGCAGGAAACGTCAATCTTCCCCAGTGGGGCTTCAAGCAGATTGAAACCACCTGTGCCAAAGAGAACAAGCCTGGTGATGTATACACACATTGGAACGTCGAGTCTCACACTAATGACCGCTGTGAGTTAAAATCTAATATTTGCACCTTGTGAGCTAAACAGGACTTACTGACGGTATCCAGTGCCTCCTGGTGACCCTGGCTCTTATAAATCACCATTTTTGAAGGACTTCATCCATCTAAATGTTGCTATGATGACTTCGAATAATGCTCTGGTCCCTGATCCTGACAAGCAAGATGACTTGGCATCCAAGTTCTGGCAATGGCCAATTCTGAATGTTGGCTTGCGCATGTGCTCTTGGGATGACAATGTGGTCAAGTACTATCTTCTTGGAAATCCATTTGTCTACTGGGCAAGCACTGCTGGTCTTGGTGGGTTTGGTCTTCTTCTTCTCTGGTACGTTCTGCGGTGGCAGAGAGGTTTCAAAGACCTGAGCGATGAGGATATCCGCCATATCCACTACTCTGGCCTGTACCCGGCCATTGGATGGGTGTTGCACTATCTCCCCTTCATTATTATGGCGCGTGTTACTTACGTCCACCACTATTACCCGGCTCTTTATTACGCAATCCTCACCTTCGGATTCTGTGTTGATTGGGTGACACGCAGGATGAATCCTCGCTTTGCTGCGGCATTGTATGCCTTGCTCTACGTGGTAATCATTGGACTTTTCGTCCATTTCCGAGCCATTGTGTTTGGAATGGAAGGCTCCAACCAGCAATGGACTCACCTGCGTTGGTTGGCCGGATGGAAAGTTTCGAACTAAGTCGTGGGATGTCTTGAAACCCCACGCTTGTTCTTTTTGCTTGATCTGGTGAAGCTGACGATTCCGAAGCTGTCAACGGATTTAACGCATACATGGATTCTTGTATCAACACAGATAATTCTACTTTCCTTCTGGTTCTCCTTTATTGGTACATGATTTGACGGAAAAAATGCAATGCGAATGCCATTAGAGATTAAGCATATATCTCCCTAGTAGTCACGCTAGATGAGCAGTAATTCGAGAAGATAAAAATAAAAGGTTCAAGATGGCCGCTGTGCCAGACAGGTGCTTGCTTTGGTCAGACAGCTAGCTGCACGTGTTATGGATATACCATTTGGTGCCGACTCTGATTTCTGCAGAACAGATTTAGCAGCATCCCCCCGTCCAACCATTGCCGCCTTTGCGCATGGCGTCGTCCATTCCCAAAGTAACAGTCCTAGACAGCCCTGCCTTTGCTCCCCCCGAGGCGCCAAATCCTTTCACACCACTTCGCCGGTCATTAAGGTCGTATTTCCCGGTGTTGATATTTCGATAGATTCTCTCAGCAACTTCTAGGAACGCCCGTTCAACACCGTCCCCGGATTTGGCGCTTGTTTCAACATAGCGGACCACGTTGTTCATGCGACACCACTCTTCAGCTTCTTGCTGAGGAACCTGTCTTTGGTTTGACCCTGAATCTGCCCCTGTCAGATCAGTCTTATTACCAACTAGGATCACCACGATGCCTTCTTCTGCAATTTGCCGTAGATCATGAAGCCACTGGGTGCACGAGATGAAAGTTGATCGTCTCGAGATGTCAAACACTAAAAGCGCACCGGAAGCACCTCGAAAATAGGAGCGGGTGATGGATTTGTACGTTTCTTGTCCAGCGGTGTCCCATAGGGAGAGTTTCATGCGTTTCTGATTGGGAGGATCCTGTGGCTTTCGTGGCGGAGTAGGAAGGCCGGAGGTGGCTGGCGTATCTGGTGTATCGCCTGCCGGCGGCGACCCAGGAGAAGGCCCATCAAGCTCTAGCTCTAGTGAGGCTGGGGGACCAACTGGTACAATCCGCGATCCGAACTCGACACCAATTGTGACATCATGCGACGGAGAAAAGCGCCCTTCACAAAGTCGAATGGTGAGCTACTGTTTGTTAGTTGCAGCTCGTAACCTCGAGAGATGAAGACATACACTGGACTTGCCAGTGCCAGAGTCACCAATGCAGACAAGCTTAGCAATATAGTCCCATGGCTGTGACATGGAGAGAGCAGATCAAGAGAAGATGAGAATCAAAGCGTGAGATGGCCATGTACTCCGTAGTTGAAAGGTGATTGTCCGCTGAGTCATCTATCAAGCCTGACGTGCCCGTATGACGCTTCCATCAGCTGCGTGACCCATGTCCTATCGTAGATTTCACACCTCCTTGGGGTTCTTGACCTCTCCCTTATCCCTAGAATTTACCTCAAATATCAAGCTTTGTATTCTGCTTCTCTCTCCTCTCCCTTCTATCCCTTATAACCCCTTGATTCTTCTTTCCCCCTCCCTGGTCCCCCGTGAACATTTCTGGTCCGCTCACCGTATTTCTTGTTGTTGCGATAGCAGGCCATGTTCTCCGAATGTAGGAACCAGGAGACCTTGAGATCTGAATTAAATGACTGATATTTCATCCCAGATGCCTCACGCTTCCTTGCCCAGTCACAGTCGAGGGTAGCGCCTCGCCCAGATGACCTTCAAAGAACGGGCCGTAGTCGTCCTAACCATCAACCTCAAGCGACCTCACGTCACCCATCGTCACGGTCTTTCCTACGCCCGAGCGATCCGTATCGACCGGGTGCATCTCAAACTTCTCATTTCCCCTTTGCCTCCCGTGGTCCCGCCCAAGCTCCCCTCTTCTTCAGTGCCACCGATGAATTCCGAGAAGAAGATGACGAGACGGAACGTGAGCGGGAAATAGCAGATTTCTATGCCTTGCAACGGTCCAGAAGGCATTTTGGCGACAGCAATTTAAAGGACTCTTCGGAACTTGACGATTCCGAACGCTCAGAGGGGTTTGATGAGGGTTCTTCGCCATATGATAACCGTCCTGGTAACGGGAAAGGAATCAAAAGTTCGTGGCGTGGTGAAAAGAGTGTTGCTTCTACTCGCCATTTTCTCATCGATCCCGTTGAAGAGGTAGCAGAGCATGCTCTTGGGTCTCAAGCTAGCCCCAGCAGTAGCAAGGTCCGAGGACATCTGGTTGATGTCGGCCTGCAAGATTCTTTGCGAGCCGACTTTGACGAAGATCACATACCACACAGCCCCAGCAGCCGCAATCCACCCATCCAACTATTTAGAGAGCGAGGCTCAACGAGGGACTCTGAGATCGGCCTTCTAGGGCATGCTGAACAGGCTGGTCTTTTATCGCACGATGTCCCACGACCACCCAGCTCGACAGGTTCATTCCCAGCCTCGGTATCTCCATTGGTCTCGGAAACCATCGCCCATGATGCATTTTGGGGCCAGCTGTTCTTGATATCTCTTGCTGGGCTGTTTGCCTCTGCATTCCTCGTGTATCTTCACACGTCTACCCCATCTGGAGACAAGTCAAAATGGGGCGACACAATATACATGACTGTCCATGGCTCCTTCTTTCTCCTCGGAATTTATACTACCGTGTCGATTTTTGTCTCTGTGCTCTGGTTAGCCTTGTTAAGGTCTTACGTGCGACTTCTGGTCCACCTGATCATCGTTGCTGTTCCGGTCGTCCTATTCTCATTCTCTTTATACCCTTTTATATCAAGTTTCAAGGGACCATGGCTCGGGGCAAGTATACAAGATAAAGCGATGAGATGGGGCTCTGCAGTTCCTCTCTTCATGGCCACGATGTGGATCTACAATGTTGTCCGCGGACGTCAATCTATTGGGAAGGCGATAGGAATTCTTGAATTTGCTTGTCGAATTCTAGCTGCCAATCCGGAGCTCCTTGCTCTTGGTCTAGGGGCCATGGTCTGCGTGGTCTCCTGGACGTGGATCTGGATGCTGATGTTCACTCGCGTCTTCCTGGGCGGCCACGCTGGTCCGCGGTCTTTCATTGTCGACTTGAGCAGCTGGTGGCTTGGTGTTTATTTTGTCATTGTCTATCTGTGGTCCATCGGTGTCATTGCGGGCATTCAGCGTGCCGTCACAGCCGCAACAGTAAGCCAATGGTACTTCCACCGCTTGACTACACCCGCGCCAACTTCCAGGCAGATTGTCCAGGCAGCCATAGTTCATGCTGTGACAACTCTGTTCGGCACAATATCGCTATCCAGACTATTGGGGCTCTTGATTCGACTTCCGCTTCTATTGCTACCAGGTCGTATCTCCTCACTGCTCGGCTTGTTTGCCTATTCATTAGTTCCCACGCCTATAACCTTTCTGACCAATCCGCTTTCTCTCACCTATGCCGCAATCCATTCGCAACCTCTTGCTGCTTCATCGCGAGGTCTAAGTCAAATGACGGTGCTTGCCCAATCCGCCGCCTCCACTTCCTTGAATCCTCGTTCCTATCCTTCGGGAAACTCTGCCTCTCTTCTGTCCTATCGACTTTCCAAGCTGATTCTTTATGCTACCCGGGCCATGATGTCACTGGCTTTGGGATTCGGCGGCTGGGTTACCACCGCCCGCAGCTTGACAACCACTGCTACTGGCGGAACAGTTCGTGGCAGCCTTTATGCTTATGTGGTCGGTCTCATTGCTGGAATGATTGGATGGACCATACTGGGTGCGATGGAAGGTGTCATTGCTGATATTGTCGATGCAGCTGTGATTTGCTGGGCCAGCGAGGTTGGCATATATGGCCGAGAGGCCCGATATTGTCGAGAGGCTGGTTGGCTTTTTGGCGACTCGCAGTCTCGATTCGACCATGAACACCAGGAGGTCTAGGCCAAGGTATCATTTTATAGGGTTTGGGCGACGCATTTGTTTCCATCATGATCACATTTGCAAATATCTTCATACATTTGAGCGATTATGATCTTTCTATTCCATATATTAGCGACATTGAATCCAGAGGAATTAACATATTTACGTCTAATATACACACGCTTAAGCGTCTCGCCTCGGCAGAGATACTGATCAGTAGTTTGCATGCCCTATGGCAAATTCGAATTGCAAATAGCTACATGAAATCCAGGGCTCGTGGTATCATGAGAGGATAAGAGAAAAACCTCGAAAAAGAAAATGCAAGAAAAAGCTGCCAGAACGCCCATGTTGACTGTAGAAAACAATGGATACGTCAGATACCGAGGCGCCCATTCCATTCTACCTGTTCCTTCGAGCACCATTCCTTGAGTAAAGTCCCCCCAAAACGAACTACTTCGATGGGGGGAGTCGTACCACCTAGCGGTAGGAAAAAGCTCCCGGAATAGTCGCCAGCTTTAAGAGATGTGCGACCTCTCTCTGAGTAATTTCTGGATCGTTGAGACCAGCTCGTAGGAAACTCACGGGCAAGTATATCTTCAGAGAGGCCTCGTGTGCCTTCCAGCCACAGCCTTTGGGACTCTTTATAGCACTCAGGGAGACGGTTTTTCAAATCCAAGAACTCTTTCCTGACTTTCTTGGTTTCGTCTGACAAATTCGTATTGGTATCACTCCCAGGAGTGGGTACTGGAGTATGCTCTCCAGGAATTGGGCTTATGGCGAGGCGTTCAAGATCAAGTGCGTGAATAGCATTAAATGAGACGGCACCAAGTAGTAAACAAAGATTTGATAGCGCTGGATAGGGTGAAGTCAACTTCTTTACCACTTTCCAGTATGGAATAATTGAGAGCCACGTGGAAGAGTCTCCAACCTGGCGTGATACAGCTTTGGACTGATCGTCTGCCACAAAGGCTAAGATGAAAGACAGCAATGCCTCAATGGCAACCACAGCAGCGAGTTTCTCATCCACCGACGAAGCTCCATTTTTGGAGTTGTGGCGGTCTGCAGCATGTTTCAATTCACGACCGATGGTTGAGAACTTTTGCCATTCATCCCGCCAGGCTCTGCGCTCACGCGATCGACTATCAGATTGAGATGGAGACGCTTTCGCGACTGTCCCAGTATCAACAGAATGTCGTTTGTTAGCAGGATGAGAGGGCGTTTTTCCATCACTCTCTCCGAGGTCAATCCGGCGTGGGGCAGACGTTTTACGGTCTCTCGGCGTGGTTGCAGCTTGTTTGGCTTTTTCCTGTGGGAGAGAAGCGGCCAATGGTTGTGAGAGGGGAGTTCGGGTCTTTTCTGCGAGACCTTTCGGCTCCCTTGAGCGACTATCATGAGGGCCCAGGGCTTCGTCGGTTTCGGGCTTGGTCTTATTTTTCAGTGACCCAGGCAGAGCGTTACCGCGGAACGATCCCGTTGTTTCTGCTCCTTTTTTCCTAGAATGGGAGGCGTCGTCGCGATCGGTATCGTGGTTGACTGGTGAATCTGACCGACGCGTCTTCATTTTACCGGAGAATTTGAGCAAAGCCTCAACCCGTTTCCTGTTCGCTCTCCCATATCGCAGCTTCGCAATGAGTTGTACCTTCGGCACACCGGGGCGAGCATTTTCCTTCGGTTGATCATGGATATTTGAATCTTTTTCAGGCAATGTCTTTTCTGACGCACCTGGACGGCTATTGTGGGGCGGTGAAGAATAATCGAGGCGAGCTAGCTCTTTCTCAATATCTGGCGGCAGAGTAGGAGACAGTAAACGCGGAAGTTTGGGGCCATTTGAGGTTGGTGGGAGGGTGGGCGAGAGAAGAGCCGGGAGTTTGGGGGAGTGCGATTTCGAAGGGCTGGGGTCTCGGCGGTATTCTTTGCTAGATGATAGACGCGGCTTTTTGAGAGAATGTGTTGCGGGATCTTTAGTTCCCCGAGGGTTGAGAAGCTCGCGGTCCGAGCCAGATGGCCGTTTTTGGCCCACCCTTTCAGGAGAAAGGCGCGTGTCAGCCTTGAGTGGCATCTGTGGTGCCTCAACCCGGTCAGGGTTTTTCAGTGGTTCCGAACTTGCTGTTCGTCGTTTTTCTTCGGATTGGTTTAAGTCTGATGTACTGCGCCCACTTGATTCGGGGCCCATAGGAGATGCGACAGGACCGTTAATCTTCTGATGCTTGTAATCCTTGAGGCTGATCTTCTTCCTCGCCACTGATTCTCTTGGGCTTTCTGTGGTGCTTGGGGCCGTTGGTCGATCGTCCATCATGCGCCCCGTATCATCTGACCAATCCCCAACAGCGACAAGTAGCGAATCCGTATCGTGATGTGCCAAGAAAGTCATGTACTGAAGTTCTTGCTCTTCGGAACGAAATGGTCTGTCATGCCCTACCGCCCAATGGTACTCGCGGCGGTTTCCCTGTCGAAAAGGCGAATTGGTGGGAAGAGTGAGAAGGTAAGGTACGGACGGGAGGACTTCCTCGGAAAGGCGCTTCAATCGTTGGTCAAGCGCTTCGCGGTCCAAACTTGGAGAGCTTGTAGCTTGGGCGTTCGTGATGTTTTGGGTATGGCGGTTCTCGTTCACCGACATGGCAGTGCGCAGGGTTTCGCAAGTTCCTCCACTGAAGATGCCAGTATCAAACGCGCTTTACAGGCTAAGCTGAAGCGTGTCACCGAGTATTTTCTTCTAGCCAGTCGAAGAGACGAGTTACCGAATGGCGGTCAGAGCATCGAGTCAAGCAAAGGATGGTAGACAAGCGCGAGCATTGAGAGAACGAATAATCAGGGCATCCTATTACTCTTGCGCGTAGGGGGAGTGATCCCATAACCCTGGAGGATCGACCACAATGAAGGGATGGACAAGACAAAGAGAAGCAACCGTTAAATCACAAAGAGAAAAGAAGCAAGAAAGAGAGGATAATGACGGTTGGAGATTTCCCCGATTCAAAGGGCTCCGAGATGGAGTACGGACCGTACGTGACGGGCCGCTTATCTTATCAATACGGGGGTAATTGTAATGTACTGTCACCCTGCTATTGATCCGAGTATTTCATGCGCCATTGAGCTGGTATTGGTATTACCGTGCTTCAGTGTAGTGATGATATTGATGAGTCTATTTCTATTGAATCGCTATTCATACTCTATGATCGATCGTCTTGCGCATATTTATCCTGCCAGAATGCTCGGTAATGTTTCTGTTCGCCAACCTTTGAGATTTCTTCGAGCTCCTGAGGCGTTAGCTTGAAAGTCAACGTCCGAAGATAGCTGCTCATGCGTGACTCTTTGCCACTGGTTGTAACGGCTATACAGCCACGGTCAATAGTCCAGCGAAGCAAGATTTCCGCCTCACTGACGGCGTACTTGGTGGCCAAGGAGGTAAGCAAAGGGTCCAGAGGCCCACCTTTAGCACGAGTAGTCGGCGTCAGGCCAGAATAACTGATAGTCTTAATGCCTTTGCTCTCGTGGAAAGAGATCAAGTTGCCATGCTGGAGGTAGGGATGGAACTCAATTTGGTTCACAGATGGGACAATTTTGGCAGTCTCGAGGATGGTTTCCAGATGGCTTTGTAGGAAATTCGATACACCAATGGAGCGGGCCTTTTTAGATTCTTTGACTTTTTCCATGGCAGCCCAGGCAGCCTGAAGTTCGGCCTCGGTATTTGCGAAGAATGGAGCATGAATTAAGTACCTGAGCCCATCGTCAATTCACATCCCTTTAATACGTCCAGATTGACTTACAGATCAACATAATCAAGCTGGAGCTTTCGCAGACTGATGTCGATGGCCCGAGGAATATCGGCGATATTGGTAATGACTTTGGTCGTCACAATGAGTTTCTCTCGAGGAATCCCACTCTCTTTGATGGCCAATCCAAGTTCCTCCTCGGTTTGATAAACTTCAGCTCCGTCGAGGTTATGATATCCTAGTTTGGCTGCCGTCTTGATGGACTCAACCAAGTCACGGTTGATTCCACTATCTGCCGACTTCTTAAACCATGCGGTGCCAGTGCCATATCCAAGCTGGATTGATCAGTAACAGTCAATCTAGGAAAGCAAAGCACTTACGACAGGAATCGAGACACCATCATTGAGCTTCAACGTGGGAATACTACCGATTGTGCCTGCCATGATTGCCAAAGTAGATCAAAAGAGTAGATATAGAGGATATATAGAGCAAAAGAGCAGAAGAGCAGATGCAGACAGTAAAAGGCGGGGGGGGGGGATCCGCGTAGGTCTCCCGAGGTCGGCAACGCGATTAATAATTGCCAACTTCGTCATTTCACATAGCTCCCGAGCTCCTCGACCTCATGTTCTCAGCTCTTCTCAGCTCAGCTCAACTTCTTTCTTTATGTACCGTGCTGTGCGCTTAAGTCGTATGCTTCCCAACCTCAGATCTCCAATTCGGAATCGTTTGAGCCAAATGGCGTCCCATTTCTCTAGTGGCGCCGGGGTTTCCCTGGTTGAGCTACCAAAGTCAAACAATTTTACATCGAAAATGCCACCTGATCCTGCTTTTGAGACTCCAGAAATCTCACACAAGGCCCCGAGAGAGGCCCTCGGCCCCCGCATGGTCAAGGGAGCACTATTTACTTATGTCCGCCCCGAGCCGACAGATGCACCAGAATTGCTAGGTGTCAGTCCCAAGGCAATGAAAGACTTGGGGTTAAAGCCTGGCGAAGATCAAACGGAACAATTCAAAGCGCTGGTCGCAGGAAATGAAGTCTGGTGGGATGAGGAGAAGGGTGGAATTTACCCTTGGGCCCAGTGTTATGGGGGTAAGTATACATATTCCGATCATTTAATGCATGGAGTTTAACATGGATTTCCAGGGTGGCAATTGTAAGCCATAGCTAGAGATTTATTGTGGTCTACTCAAACTGACATCAACCAGTGGTTCATGGGCTGGACAGCTTGGAGACGGGGTAAGTTAAGATTCAAAGTATGCAGTCTACACACCGTATGGCTAATGTAGAGGTGATTTATATCAGCGTGCAATCAGCCTCTTTGAGTGCACCAATCCACACACCAATACTCGATATGAGCTTCAATTGAAAGGCGCGGGCAGAACACCCTACTCGCGTTTTGCGGATGGCAAAGCTGTCCTCCGATCGAGTATCCGTGAATACGTTGTCTCGGAAGGTATACATGAAATATCCTGAATCTGAGAGGTATCTACTAACGAAGTTCTCTAGCTTTATCGGCTCTTGGTATACCGACTACTCGTGCACTATCACTCACCTCCTTACCAAATGCTAAGGTGTTGCGGGAGCGTCTGGAGCCCGGAGCAATTGTTGCACGGTTTGCTGAGAGTTGGTTGAGAATTGGCACTTTTGATCTTCTTCGTGTTCGCGGAGATCGTGAGCTCATCAAAAAGCTCGCAACATACGTCGGCGAAGACGTGTTTGGTGGGTGGGAATCCCTCCCTGCCATTATATCAGTACGTGAACAGCAATCTCCGGCGGAAATGGACAATCCCCCAAGAGGAATTCCCCGAGATGAGGTCCAAGACCACCAGGACGTACAAGAGAATCGGTTTGCGAGACTGTACCGAGAAATTGCTCGACGCAACGCAAAGACAGTAGCAGCATGGCAGGCCTACGGTTTCATGAACGGCGTGCTCAACACGGACAACACATCCATATATGGCTTATCACTTGACTATGGCCCATTCGCGTTCATGGATAACTTCGATCCCCAATATACCCCGAACCATGATGACCACATGCTGCGCTATGCCTATCGAAACCAGCCTAGTATTATCTGGTGGAACTTGGTTCGACTTGGGGAGTCACTGGGAGAACTCATTGGAGCTGGAAATCGAGTCGACGAAGAAAGCTTTGTGAAAGATGGTGTGACAGAAGATCTTGAGCCAGAAATCATCAAACGCGCAGAAAATATCATTGATCGCACGGGTGAGGAGTTCAGGGCAGTGTTCCTGAACGAATACAAGCGATTGATGTGCCAGAGGCTAGGACTGAAGACACAAGCCGAGTCGGACTTCCAGAACCTCTTTTCAGAGATGCTGGACACACTTGAGGCCCTCGAGCTAGATTTTAACCACTTTTTCCGCCGGCTCTCTGGGTTGCCGTTGTCCAAGCTGAAAACCGAAGAAAGCCGAAAGGAAACAGCCTCAATTTTCTTCCACAATGAAGGATTCGGTGGTATTGGATACACCGATGACACAGCCAGAGCTCGCATTGCAAAATGGCTTGATGACTGGCAAGCCCGTGTCCTTGAAGACTGGGGCGCTGAACATGACGAAGACAGGCAAAAGGCGATGAAATCCGTCAATCCAAACGTAAGAGCTCGTTGAAATTCGTTCGGTTTTATCATTTAGTAAATGTTGACTCACTGACCCTTCTCTCATCTAGTTTGTGCCCCGAGGGTGGATTCTTGATGAGGTCATCGATCGCGTTGACCGCAAAGGAGACCACGAGATTCTGGACAGGGTCATGCAAATGTCCTTGAATCCCTTCAATGAGGAATGGGGTCTCAACAAGGAAGAGGAACAGCGCTTCTGTGGGGACGTTCCTAAGTACAAGAGGGCTATGCTATGTAGTTGCAGCTCGTAGTCGAGCCATGCGCGCCACATATGGGAAAATCAAGACACCCAGTGTACCATATCAATTTCATCCAACCCAAGATATATACGTATGTTGACATCCGTTTCGGCCTACGAGTTGAGCCCTACAAGCACAAGTTGCAAATACGAAAATTGCAGGGTTCCCTGCTTCACATTTTATGCGCGTTATCAAAAGACCCGCGGAATTCAAACTCGGGAAGCATCATAAGGTAGATCATGTCAACCTGCCAGACGTTGATCTCTAATCATACATTTTCAGGGGAAAAAAAGAGAAATTCGTTTCGTGCATGCAAGATAATTGTCATCCGATCCCGTAGAAACTGCAGAAACATGTCGACTGAAACAGCAATCCAAGGCCTTAGTTAGGGCAAGCGGACTGCACGTGGCCGGGCTGCTTGCACTTGTAGCACATGCGCTCACCCTTGGCCTCAGTAGGGCAGTCACGGGAAACGTGGCCAACCTCGCCGCCTAAACTTGAGGTTAGTAGATACTCCCATCAAAAAGAGAGAAAAGGCACTCACAGTTGTAGCACTTCTGGCCCTGAGTGCAGTCGCGAGCCATGTGGCCGAAGCCACCGCAGGAGTAGCAGGTCTGCTGGCGGCCACCGGCAGCACCGCCGAAACCACCACCGTAACCACCACCGTAGCCGCCGCTACCGTAGTTACCACCCTGGGGGCAGTGACGGGCGATGTGGCCGACCTGTCCGCACTTGTAGCACTCCTGACTGCCACCGCCGCTGTAGTTGCTGTCGCCGGCCTGGGGGCATTCGCGGGAAAGGTGACCGGTCTGACCGCAGCGGTAGCAAGACTTCTCCTTAGCGGGTTCTTGGCATTCACGGCCTTTGAGATGTCAGTTCAGTGAAGCTCAGAGTTGGGAATTCCCGTCGACTTACTCAAGTGACCCTGACCTGGAAATGAAACGTGATCTGATTAGCAATGCTCCAACCAGTCCAGATATCTAATCATGGACAACATCCGAGGGATAAAGCGTACCGCCGCAGTTGTAGCTATAGAAGACAGGAATTAGCTTATATCAACCAGAGGCGACAAAGAGGAATTACCAGGTGGGGTTACCCTTCTTGGGGCAGTCCTTGGCCTAGAATGATCATATAAGCTTCATGTCTTTTTTTTGGGCTCGCATTGAACCATCTGAACCATGCAGAAGTTCAAATAAAGATGAAAATTACCTGGTGAGAAGCCTCGCCGCCTAGGAGAACAGAAGTCAGTACAAATGGACCAAGCATGGAAGAAATTCCAAGTCCGGAAAAAAGCATCAAGCTCAGACCAGAAAAATTGGGGAATGACTTACAGTTGAAGCAGCCGCCACGTCCGGTAGGGAAATCCATTTTAAATAAGAATATTGGGAGAAGATGTGTAGAGTGAAGGAGTCAAAAAAATTGAGTCTTGAAAATTGTAGTGCGGGGAGAAATCTTCCCGCGAGCTTACTCGCTTGACCGCCCGACCACTTTTCATCGGGGATGTCTGCGATGGGAAGTATAAGGAGTTTGGCGCTTTGGACTTGGATCACTTGGATATTAGACCCTGGACTTTGAACTTTGGAGGTTCATGTTTGATCTGCCTTCTCTCTTTTTTTTTGGCTTTTTTTTTCATTTGCGCGTTCTTCGTCTCTTCCATTTCTCGCTATGAACCTTCGCATCGTCATACATCTGTAGCGTTTCTGGTGCTTTTTTTTTTTGGATGTACGGATGTACGGGGGAGTCGTGAGAAATTCAAGGATATCATGGCCCATTTTTAGGGCGATCATGACTTTTATACCCCCCTAAAGGCCCCCCTGCCAGGGTCCCCAGCTCGGGGTGAGTACCTTGTGCTACGACCACGTTCCTGAACCCGGGGTTATTGGCCGTATTGCGATCGTCAAATCATGAGTTCAAATGTTTGCTTCTGTGGAGTTGGCCTGCCTCTTCCATATCTGTCGAATTAGTTCATGTAAAATCATAACATTCAAGGAGTTGGGTTCCCGTCTTTTCTCGGAGTAACAGTACTCGCTCCTCGTCAAACCCAATACAACCTTGCAATAATCCTTGGGTATGATCTACACTGCCCAAGTTTGGATGAACAGGGATCACCCCCGAGTCTTTCTCTTGTTTGCTTTCAGGGTTGAGCTGAACGCCATTCTCTTCTTTGAAATAGGTGCGGCTGCCCAAGGTAGATATCGCCATCTCCAACTCCCAGATTCGAATTTCGTCTCCTCGGGCGCTCACTGAAACAGCTTTACCACGGTTTGTCACTTCAACTGCGGATACGGAAGAAGTGTGACCCCAAAGGCGCCGGCCACCTTGAACAAACAAATTGTTGGACGTAGAGACCACGAGATACATAGTCAATGTATTGTCCGCATGAGAGGTCAGCAGATATGGATGAGAATAAGACATCGAGGTTGGCGGTTTCTGGTGTAAGATGGTTGGTGTTCCAGCGGCGATGCCTTGACTGTTGACGGGCCGAGTCGCTGAGTGTCGTCTTTTTTGGGATTGTGGTGGATCTTGCGGTGACCTTAGCCCATATTGTGAATCTACTGTGGTGGCTAGTTGCGAGTCAAGTTGTTGGCCATCCTTGCCCAGGCGCAGTTCTTGAATCCCGAGCGACCAACCACACCCAATGTGGAAGAAGCTATACACAATAGTCGCGACAATATCAAAACTTGAGACTCGAAGAGACAGAGTCATGGGTGCAACGATGTTTTCCGCTCTGAGGGAGGCGAGTTGGTGTAGTTCTTCGGTATCTCCAGTTTTACCTCTCTGCTGGCTTCCATGTTGCAGATTATACAGTGTCAAATCTTTGTGCTGGGATACAATCAACAGATATGGTGATGACAATGCCATTGCAGTGATAGCACCATTACTGCAACCCACGTGAGAGGATCGAAGGCGTAGATCGAATGTTCCAAGGTGCAAGACAAACATTTTGAAATGGCCGTTATCCAACCCTACTGAGATTTCGATCTCATCTTGAACCTGACTTGCGGCCAGTGCTGTTGGAATCACGGGTGGTGCTTTGGAATGAGTCGTCAATGATGATGTTGCCATACAAGATGCCGGGTCTCTTGCAGTCCAAGCCCGGAGCCCGTACACCGGGTCTACGGTGAAGACAACACCGGCGCAGAATCTGACTAGAGTTGGTGGACATGGCGGCTGAGGAAACTCGACCTCAGTAAACCGACATAGCCCTCTGGACCAATTATGCCGAAGCCGGTATTGTCGTTTCCAATTGGTTTGTGCCCCCTGTACTAAGTGACCATGATCGAACCATGTTGCGACTTTGGGTGAGTAATCCGTCTTAGTTGGGAGTGTTGAACGTCTAACATTTGCGAGCCGGCGGGCACGGGGTCGCACCCATTCTGAGTAGTATTGCCTTTTCCACAGCTCGGAGTCACCACCAAGAGCATGGAACCGATGGGATAGTCTTAGAAAAGGGTTCAGTCAGTGCCAATACTAAGAGAGACTGGAAGCAGACGTATTACCTTTGACACACATTCAGAGACGAAACCGGCAGAAACGAGAAGATATGAAGCAACAGCTCATTACTCAGGCGGGACAGGCGGTCTCCAGACTGAGCATCGCGGGTACGAGGACGCTTGTGAGGCTGACTAGAGTCCTGGTCTCTGCGCCGTTTCAACATTCTGTGAGACGAGATTATCGACAGTTGTGATATGATAGCAAAGAGGTGACGAGTTTCTTATCGATAAGCTCACGTGGCCCAAAACGCGTCGCGTCTCTTTCGCTCTCTTGACACTTTCTTTATCACAATGGAGATTATTCAGGATCTTCATACCGCTGTGGCAAATGCCTGCGAAGCTTCTTTTGACGAGGCTTATCGACGTATGAAATCGCAGGTTGACGCCCACACTAAAGCGGCACAAATCAAAGAATCACAGGCCAATCAAGCCCAGCGACAAGCAAAGGCCAAAATCCAAGAACTTTGGCAAAAGATCAATGCTCTTCAGGTCGAGCTGCGGGAGCATGAACTTGATCCGCGTGATCTAGAGCTTCCCGGAGAATACGCCAATCTAGAAACCGAGTTCGACCCCAAGAATATCTGGGGAAATAGCATGGAAGATGATGATACTTCCGACGTTCAGACCTCGCGAAAAAGGATTGAGGCCAAATATACGGCACTGTATACGTGTCTACAGACATTCATTCAGACCTGGAGCGACCTCAAGTCCAGAATTCTGCAGCACAAGAAGAAATTGCGGCGGTGGGATAGACAACTAGAACAGGAAGAATTCACAATCGTTCTCAATGCCGAACCAGTCACATTTCGCAGAGTCCAAAGTACCGCCATGGACAAATTTGACAAAGTCCAGTCCCCAGCAATCCAAAGCCTGGCAACAAAACGTCCACGAGAAGGGGGTCTTGACTTTCCATCAAAAACTCCCAAGTCATTGTCAACCCGCAAACCTGCAAGCAGCTCTGAGGAAGCTGTCAAGTCAGATCATAACAAAAAGGCAGGCTTCAATCAGCCATCACAACCAGCTTCCACTCAATCTAGCTCCCCTGCACCAGATGTGGATCGCTCAGACCGGTCTTCGAATGGAGCATGGGATTTACCCGGTGTGCATAGCCAGCTGAAAGGGCAGGGGCTTCCACCGGCGCCGCCTGGCGAGCATTCGTTGCCCAATCCCCAGAGGGCGGAGGCTCACCCTGTGCATCCTATATCTATTAAGAAAGAGATTATGTCTTCCAGTCCAGTCCGACCCTCCACCTATAACCATGAGCTACCACCTGCAGGCACACAAGATCTCGACGAAATAGGTGACACAATACGAACACCTATGAAGCGAAAAGCCTACAGGGATGCATATGCTGGAAACACTTGGGACTCAAATAGCAGCAGTAAGCATGCACGTCACTCGAAACAAATTCCGCAAGACCGGGAAACATCACAACACTCAGTCCTTCAGCCTGTCGATGGAAACGCGCGTACCGAGTTAGATCCCAAGGAACGCCACTATTCAAAGCATGGCAAAGATCTGGAGAAACGCGCAATACCATCTTTGGCAGAAGACGGAGAAGATGTTGCCTCTCACACAACCCCAAGGCCATCAAAGAAGAACGCCGGTGACAGGCCTGGTCAGAGACGCCTAGAAAATCTGTTGGAACAATCGGCACCCTTCAGATCACCACTCAGCGCGTCGAAAAAGGCTGCATGTATGACTACAACGACAGAAGATACTGCACCACAAGACGATCCGAAGGCAACAATTAGAAGTCAAACTGTCCCCGCCATAGATCCCGACGATGAGCCTTACAGGTCAAGGCCTCTTCAATGCCTGGGGCTCGAGCATTTCAAAATCAACCCTGCAAGAAACCAAGGACTTGATTTTGCCTATAATGCGGTGGTTCGCAAGAAAGATGACCGTAAATGCATATCGGGCTGCACTCGCCCGGGATGCTGTGGAGATCGGTTCAGGGCCATGGCTCGTCTTGGAGGTCTTCCTGCCAGATCTGTAGCTGAACAGGAAGAAGAAGACCAGAATATATTACAGGAGTATTTGGGAGAAGATTCGCAATTACTCAAAACCCTGAAGGGGCAAGATCGTGAGAATGTTTTGGTGGAAGCGCGAGCCCGGGCCTTGGCCAACCAGTATGGACGACATCGACATGCTCACCAGAGAGCGCAATCTCCACCCGGATTCTGGCGAACAGAAATGCCAGATACACAAGATGAGGAGTCTGATCGTGAAGCTGCTAAAAGACTGGAGCGAGAAAAGGTGGAAGAGCGATACCGAGAGGCCATGCGCCCTGGTGGGCTATGGACATGGGCTGATGAATAAGACGCTATGAATCTATGGATATTCTTATGTATATGAATATGAATGATACCCGTAAGCATATATCAAACATCATTAATTGCGCATTTCACGAATAAATGTCATAGAGTGGGAGGTTAAGTCCGAACGCATCAACCTCGGCCCAGGCATTCTTGGCAAACGCGGGACCACGTGCCTGTGACCTCTCCCCGGATCTCGTTCCCCCGTCACTTCATCTATCTTGACATCCTCTGGCTTCAAGATGGAAACCGTTCGCAACATCCAGAGTCCAATACCCCCGGCACTTCTCAATCCATCGAAATGGCTTTCTCTTTATGAAGACTTCGTGACAAAGAATTCCAGCTCGGTCGGTCAAGTCGAGTCTGCGCTACGATCCCTGACATACATCATTCCAGGTGAGTTCTCATCCTGGTGCTTGATTGTTTGCAAAATTTGTTGACCTTTTATTGTGATAGGGCGTTATCGCGAATCAGAGATACCCTCAGAATGTGGTCAGTGCAAGAACCTACCTGCCGTCGCGCGTTGCTGATATTCCCTTGCAGTGCATTCGGGCGTCCAGTTATTGTCGCTATACCATGATTCTCTTGTTTCGCGTGTAATTGATCGACTTCCTTCGACTGTTCCTCGGCCGCAACCTACCCCCCATTCCCGGTATACCAAATATTGGACCTCTCGCTCCTCATTATATCGTCAAGTAGCGCTTGCGCTGCAAATGCTCCAGTACACAGAACTTCTCTGGGAGATGACAGCACGGCGACGGGGCCAAAAGACCCGCTGGCGTGTGGTGGTCTTCATCGAATTCGCCAAGGCCATCTGCCGCCTGCTGCTACTCAGACTGACAAATTCCAGACCTCTGGTCAGCCCACCACTGCCGGAGCGCGAAGTGGACCCAAGAACGGCGGAAGAGGATGACCAGAAGGAGGACTGGAATGGTATGGATACCTCCAGTAGCGAACGGTCTTCGGACTTGAACTGGACGATGCCGCGCACAGGGCTATCCCTGCCATCTCTTCCAAATGTCAACGATGTATCGAACTACCTTATCTCAAAGGTCCTTACAGCGGATGATATCAAGCCCCCGAAGGCACTTCTTCACCGTGCGACAGGACAAGGACAACTAGCTGAAGTGCTATATATCCTCCGCCCCGTTGTGTACGCATTGGCGATGCAAAAATGGAGTAAGGATAAGCGCAGCTGGCGACCATGGCTCATTGGATTTGGAATGGAGTATGGCTGCCGGCAGCTTGCCAAGCGCGACTTCCGGGAACGGGTTGCGGGTGGCCTCAGAGGACTTACAGGGCTTGAGCGGGAGGAGCTCAAGAAGCGCGGATGGTCGATGGGCTGGTGGCTGTTGCGAGGTGCATTCTACGAGAACATTACCAAGTAAGAACCCCGGACTGTTTCTACAAGTTCCCGAACAAACACTAACTTATCAATCAGGGCCTGGCTTCACAGTGTGACAGGCAAGATGAAAGGCAAGCCATTGTTGGATATGGTGGGCAGTATTGTTGAGGACTATGAGTACCTGTGGGAGAATTATTATTTCTCGACTGCAACACTGTGATTCCTTGAGACTTGTCCGGCTTCTGTTCCCATGATACCCTTATTTTTTTTGCTTCATATTTTAATGATACTCGCGTCAAGACTTGTCGGTCTGTTCTTCATTTGTTATCACTATTGCTTTGCTGTTTGAAAGCAGGTTCATAGGGTATCATCAATGTTATATTAAGTCATATCTAAATCCATGCATTCCCAAGAATCTCTACCGGGAAAGGAGGCCAATCATAGTATCTCTGTTGGCCTTTGTCCATACCAATCGCGTAAACCATCTCGAGTTGTACTTTTCCCCGGACCGGATGATACTAAAAACTCACTGAGCCTTGAAGCGCCATCCTCCTCGTCGACAGGCCAGTCAACTCTTGCACCGCCTTTCAGCTCAAGCATTTCCTTCGCCGTGCCCCAGCTAAATCGGCATTCATTGCCCCATCCAAATACAGGATCCATGTTGCGTCGAAGCCAGCCGACACACTTTGAATCCGAGGGATACCCACTACCCCAAGTCTCGGGGGCTGGGCCAGACAATTGCTGAGCTTTGAGGATATCGTCGTACATGATCTCCAGCGCGACATCACGCGTCACCTTGGCTGCCACACTAGCAGCACTGACGCAAGGATACAAAGAGTCTGCCTTCTTTGCGACAGTGATCTTCAGGGATGGGAATATTCGCTCCAATTTTTGCTGGTAAGTGGCAGGGTTGCCAATGGTGTCAATGTAAACCTCTTGCACATCTACCCCACGATCTTGAACAACCCCCCGAATGATTTCCACCGTCGCATCCATCGCCTGGGCGTTCAGGTTGTACGCTGCTGTGGGTGGTCTCATCATGCCGGAAGAGATGTCGCGTGCGGAAAGTACCTTGATTGCATACCCACAGGACTCAAAGAGTGAGTCCCCTGGTGTGTTTAAGAGTTGCATCAAGTTGGCACGCACAGCAGGTGTCAGCACTTTGCTGTCGTCAAAGCTATGCTCTTCAGTCAAAAGCGAATGATGGAGTTCGAGAGGAAGGTAGAAGGCGCCATAGACCATTGGCCCTAGAACCGGGCCACGGCCGGCCTCATCAACTCCTAGGACGCAGGGTGTACTTGGAATTGTGTCGTTGGCTGTAGAGGAGGCATTTTGGGGCGTAATTCCGCTCGGGCATGGCGTGTAGTACGCGTAGGAATCGCCGGAGAACAACCGTTCGGGGATCACGCTGGGGGGGATAAAAGTGGACGATTCCTGAGCAGTGGCAGAATCGGTTGCTTTAGTCATTTTGAGAAATTATGAAAGATTGTGGAGTTCAAGTTCTAACTGTCCGGACTCCAAGGGAAGATGGCTGAAGTATGCAACGCGTCGACTTTTCGGGATTAGCGGGCGCGTGTTTCTCCCGCCCAAATTCCGTCGCATCATTCCTCCCCTCCATCTTTGCTTCTCGCACAGTTTCACCTGGTTTGATACATTTTGGCGCAAATTGCTTTGATGCAAAAAGTGCCACGTTCTTGACGACTTCATTTCCTTTCTCACTGCCTGGTGCTCAACCTTCAATATGGCACGAGGGCCCGGAAAGGCCCGCGACTTCGATTACTCCAACGTGGGAAAGACGGGGAGGTAAGACATGTTATCGTGAAGTTGGAGGCATGTGTTGTTTAAAAAAAAGTCCAATATCTGACGCGATTGGGATCTTTAGGCGCACCGGTATCTCTCTCAAAGAGGGGCGACGCGATGAGCATGGAATGGAAGAAGTGGACGGCCTCTTCTCTTCGCCTGAGAAGTCGCCAGCCGCGCTGCCTACATTTGAGGAAAATGCGGCCTCATCTGGGTCGGATGAAATGTCAATGGATGAGGGTGCGCCACTGATGCTTTCCCCTAAAGTCTTTGTTTCACACATGCTGATTCTCTGGTTCAACTCGTCCAGGCAATGCGCCGGGTCCCATGGACTTTCTCAAGAGTGCCAATGGCCCACGGACCTCTTTTCTTTCCCCGTCCGCTGCGCGGTCACCGATAAAAGCCGGCCTCACCAGGTCTCCGCACGGATCCGCGTTGCGATCAACCCCGGAACTGCAGGACATTCACGAATCCTCAAGTCCGTATGATAACCGCTCAGCTAGTGCCGAGGAAAACTCGCCACCGGAACCCTCTCCTCTGTCTACCCGCTCCGTAAATGCAGGACGATTCAATCAGAAGAACGGCACATGGAAGACAAAGGCTCAAATTGTCGCAGAGTCCGAGCCTTCGGTGCTACCTGATTTCTCCGATGGCGACGGCGACGAGAATGATGAAAATGACAACAATGACGAGAATGATGAGAATTCTGGCTTACAGCAAGAATACGGCACCGGCTTTGAGGATCCACGAGCTGGCGCAGAAGAGCCAACCCAAAATGGACCTGAAGATGTTTCTATCATTGACTTGGCTCCCCCAAGGACAGACGAGACTACAACCTCCAAGGCGAACAAGGGCGCTTCAAAGAATGCCAAACCGGATCAACCCTCGGCTAAACCCCGCGGACGCCCTCCGAAAACCCAGCGCCGTGACGGTGATGGCGATGTCGATACGAGACCAACCAAGAGACAAATGACGGCCAAAGTGGCACCGGCTGCCCGTGAACCGTTGGAACCAGAACTAGACCGTGTGGTGGACAATTACGCCAACCGCACAGGCCCTTTGAAGGGCCGCAGTTTGTATATTCTCAAGCGCGAAAACCCCGAGGACACCAGTGCAACGCATACTAGATCTGGACGGGTATCTGTTCGCCCTCTAGCCTACTGGCGGAATGAACGTTGTGTCTTTGGTGATGGGGAGGTTGCGGAGGGACATCGCTATCCCCTTTCAACCATCAAAGAAGTCATTCGAACCGAAGAGCAAGAACCTGAGAAGAAAAAATCCAAGCGCGGTCGAAAATCCAAGTCGAAGAAGTCAAAGAACGACTCCTCGGACGAGGAAGATGAGGATGCTGACCTCTGGGAGCAAGAAGGTGGTGTTCTCCATGGCTATGTTCAAATGTGGGATTCAAAAACACAGGCATCTTCAAGGGAAGAAGAAGTTTTGGGTGAGACTGGCAATTCGACTGATATGGTTCATCTTTCGCTGACCTATGACAGACGTTGCATATGCTCCATCTGGTATCGAAACACGGGAAGTCAAAGGCTCATCGTTCCGGTTCGCAAAGCTTCTCAGTGGGACGTTCATTGGTTCTGGAGTCGTGGAGCTTCCACCGAAAGGAGTGAAGAAACCCAAAAACTCGAAGAGGATGCACATGGTGTTCTACGTGTGCCACGGACGCGTGCAAGTAGACATTTCAGGAATCCAATTCAGTGCTGGCAAGGGCTGCGTTTTCCAAGTACCTCGTGGTAAGTCTGGAATTTTTAGAGCGTTTTGCCTATAGGTTTTATTAACCCAAAGCTCTTCTTTTTAGGCAACTATTATAGCTTTGCGAACATTCATAGCAAAGAAGTACGACTGTTCTTCACCCAAGGACAGCTCCCAGAGGAAGACGAGAACGATACACAGCCCACTACCCCAGAAGGCGGTACTGAAAGTGAAAATGAGACTGAAACTGCATCCGCCGCTCCTGTTGCTGTTAAGAAGACCAAGGGGCGCCCTAAGGGCAAGGGCAAGAAGAATGAGAAGCCTCCAACTCCTGAAGCTGGCAGTGAGAGCGAGAACGAGGCTGAATCTCCGGCCGCTGCTCCCCCTTCTCATCCTGTTAAAAAGGCAAAGGGACGCCCTCGGGGCAAGCAGAAAAAGACAGGTAAATGATTAATCCAATCCGGATTATATCTGTCAACGGCTTGCTGTGCCAGTGACAGCTCGTTAAGATGCTATCTTCGATTACGTGACTGGATACCCCAGAAATGTCTCTTTTGGTGTTCGTCTATGTCTTTTTCTTTCAGTCTTTCTTTCTTATTAGTTCTTCAGCGATTTGTTTCATACGATAACCTTGGGGTTCGGCGTTTCCCGCCTGTGTGTCCTGTTAATTATGCAGTCTATTGTATTGGTGATACTCAGTGGTGGAAGAACAAGTGAGATAGCCTGGGGCGTTAAATCTCATCTACGTGATGTATTTGTTCTACTAGCAGACATAACAAGACATTTCTTCAATTAGTGCATGTGATGGTTCAATGACAATCATATCTCCTCCATAAGCTCATCCAATTCATCATCAAGGCCCAACGGGGGGAACTCTCCCACTTCAACCTTTTCGGGCTTGACGAAAACGCCCCGGTTGCCTAGACACTCAAAGTAGCGTTGTCCACCGACACTGCCATCATTCTTCCCCATAGGCTCGTCGAGTTCAATTCCAACCCAGATAGGCTGGAGGTCCGCCGGAAGCTCTCCACTCTGTTGCAGCTCGCGACCCGGGCCGGTAATGGGAATGGTGGGAACAGGTCCAACAAAGCGAATAGTGCCTCGTCGGATATGCGGCGCAGTGGAAGGCAACACAATCGCACGGTTAGCAACGGCAATTCCTACCACACATAGTTAGATTAATCACAACCGCGATGGTTCACATGTTTCCAACGAACCTCGGGTGGAGAGCTCGGCTCGATCCTTCTCAACTTGATGACGCAGAGCCTCCTCTGGTGATAGAGCGTTGGGATCAAAGCGGCCTAGCTTCTGGTTCTTCTTCCATGCCAATACAGAGTCCGATCGGGCCTCGTATGTTTCAGTCGGCAGGACATATTTGTCCACAGACGACAGGTCGGTGAAATTGGCCCGCATGGTTTGCGGACGACTATCATGGATCTAAGAAGGAGTTTCAGCATGCGGTCTTTTCCCAAGCATTGTTGCAGTGGTAGTTCCTTGGGTTGAAGCAAATGTGAATTCTGATACATGCCAGCCGAGCAGCTACATCCGAAACAATTCGGGGAATAAACCAACCTCGAATTCCGATCCCTTCACTAATCCCCAATCTCCGATCAGGCGGTCATCTCCATCAGCCCATTGATCAGGTCGGCCGGGGGTCTTGACCAGCAGACGCTGGCTTCCTGGTGGGATACCAGTCATGGTCTCCAGCTTTGACTTGACCTGCAGCACAGTCCAGGTAGGAGTGATACGGCGTTCGGTCATGAACCTTGGTTCTGTACCATTGGCTTTGCCAGATGCAGCATTGGTGATGATGACGGAGACATCCGTCGGGGTAGGCTGAAATGCCATGATGTATCTTTTTCTCTTCTATGTTAAGTTTTCTTTTGGTTCTGGAAAATCGTCAGCATTGGTTGTGATCCCTGGGTTTGGGCTCTCCATGTAAAGACCAAAGTCAACTGAGTAGTTCTGGAAATCAAAGACCACCAACAATGTCTTCAGTCACACATAGAGCCAGTATCCAATGATTTTCGCGGGTTACATGGCAATATCAAAATCCCTTCAGGGGCTGGTGACAAGCTGCCCCATGCAACTGGAGGGGATACATATGGTTCCGTGACACAGCCATTCTAGATCTCCACGAAGAACCAGCCATGGAAGGGAGCAGGTAGTACTTACATTTGTTGTGTGGACCAGAAAAGCAACCCATGGATATCTCGTATACCTAACTAGATCACATTAGTCAGCTGGCCAGGAACAGGCACCGCTTGACTCAACCAGTTGACAATGAAATGCCGAAATTCAAAACTGATCCCACGTTAGACAAAGTACGGGAGACCTGTTGAGTATTCAGGTGCTCGTCTCATAGGTTTCGTGGGGTTGAAAAGATCAATACACACACACACACACACACACCACACCACACCGTAACGTTATGTAAATTAGAAGTAAGTTAGTTTAGGAACCCATACTTGGAGAGAATCTAGTAGATATGTAACTCTCTACTGTGGATTATAATTGAGTTTAGTATTTTGCTGATTGTGCTTACTTCGTTACTGATACTTCTCATACTTCGTCCGCGACGTTGACGTTGACTGTTTTGCCCGCATGTCTGAGGCCACGTGATATCATTTCTCGCTTCACTTTTCAATTCCTCATCTCTTTCAACCTCAAAACACCATGGCGACCCCACAGGCAGATGAAGCCTACGAGCAAAAGAATGTGCATGAGGTATATCAACAGATAGCCCAGCATTTCTCTGCTACCCGGTATAAGGTGTGTCTAGGTGACTGACTGGAACCGCACATCCAGCTAACCCCGTCTTCCAGCCGTGGCCTATAGTCGAACGATTCCTACAGGGTCGGGCTCCTGGCTCAGTGGGATTAGATGTAGGATGTGGTAATGGCAAAAACTTAATGGTCAATCGCGATGTCTTTATCGTGGCTTCGGATAGGTACGTGATAAAAGTTTGGAATTTTTTTTATATAGTTTCTATGGATATTGGGTTGCCCCTCTTGGGGTCTTCTTGGGGGGAGAGGAATGGGACTTCCTGTCAGTTTCTTCGTACTGCATGGCTTCAATTGACCAAATGGCAGATCTGAAAACCTGGCTCGGATAGCCCTTCAGCACCAGCCGCATTCGACGGTGGTGGCCGATATTCTCGACCTTCCCCATCGGGATGCAAGCTTTGACTTTGCCATCTCGATCGCAGTCGTGCATCATCTTTCCACCCCGGCTCGGCGCATTCAGGCAGTCGCTGAGATGCTGCGAACCATCAAACCCGGTTCCACGACACATGAGGGCGGTCAGATCCTGATCTATGCCTGGGCCCTCGAACAGAAGGACAGTCGCAGAGGCTGGGACAAGGGCGATGAACAGGATCGAATGGTCCCTTGGGTTCGCAAGGGTGACCAGCCCCAGACCTTCCACCGTTACTATCACCTGTACGAGCAAGGTGAGCTCGAACGGGATATCGACAACGCCGGCGGTCGTGTGCTGGAAGCGGGGTACGAGAAAGACAATTGGTGGGCGATTGCGACGCCCAAGACGACTGACGTTTGAAAAAATAACGTGGTGCATGCACGCATGTACTCCGAGAACCAGCCTCGGAGTCATGGAGAAACAAATCCATTCGCACTGCTGGTCCCGCCAAAGATCCTGCAAACAGAGAGAAAACACCTCCACAAACACCGAGGGATAAAAATCATCTATACGATTCACTGTCTCCTCAAATCACGATATACCTCCTGCCGGCGCTATGCAATTCGTAACAAAAGACCAACCAAACAAAAGAAAGAAAAACAAAACAAAACAAAGAGAAAGAGAAGGAGAAGAGAAGAAAAGAAAAGAAGAAGAAGAAAAAGAAACAAGGAAAGACGTATAGGCGTCATCGTCGTCGACTTAGGGCAGAGTTCGAGGGGGCATGCCGAGGTGAGGGCCCATCAGACTTGGTGGGGGAATTCCCATTTCAGACGGTCGTCCAGGTCCATAAAACTCTCTTTGCGGGGGAGCCGGTGCGTAGGCCGGAACGCCTGCTGTGAGCTCTTCCAGGGAGGGAAGCTGAGGTGGGAGACCGGGGAATTGACCGGGGATTGCCCGTGAGGAAGACCCTTTCCTGGGTCGGGAGAGAGAGGTACTGGCACGACGTGTTCTGGTGGTAGGGGGGTCGATGGCTGCACTGGAGAGGGAGAACGGTACGACACCCGCACGGCGGGCCATTTCCTGTTCTCCCAGTTGCCAGTGCATGGCCTCTGCTGCACGCCATGGGATGGCCATTTCTTCGGCCACTTTGGACCACATTTCGGCTTTGAATCTATTGAATGCGGTCAACTGATTAATGGCTTGCTCATACGTTTTCCACGCTCTTTCACTCGCTTTCCACCTACCTCTCATATAGACGGGCTAATTTGTTCTTCTTGTCCTCGTCCCATTCACTTCGGCGCTCCAGATAGTTCTGATAATGCAGTCGACAGCTGATCGCACTGCGGCCTGGCAGTCGTTTGCTGATATCCTCCCATTTCATTCCACTGCCTCGCAACTCGATGATCAAGGCATCCTCTTCTGGGGACCATTTGGACTGTTTCTTTGCTGGTGATTCGGCCGTATGCGCCGGTTGCAAGCGTTTGGGCGCACCGGAGGGGCCTGATTTGGTGAGTGGTGGCATGGCAGCCATCGCCGCTGGGCCTGGCATCGTCATGATAGGACCCATGGAGCCCATCGGCGGGCCTGGGATTCTCGACGGGAAGCCCGTGGTCATACTGGGGGTGGCTTCTTCCTCATCTTGGGGCTTGAGTAGTAGTGAGATATCCACTTTGGCGGGATGCGAGATAGGCTGGTGTCGTAACGCAATCATATGCGCGGATGAAGACCAAGAAATAGAGCAAAGAAGAAGAAGAAGACGAAGACGAAGAAGACGAGGCAGCTATCGAAAGCGTCCAAGGGAAGGTCCAGGTGCAGCAGGTCCAGATGGAAGGAGTCTGAATGACGACAGAAAAAAAGAAGCCCAAAAGAGAAGTCTCGAGAAGTCAAAAGGTTAAAAGAGAAGAAACAAGCCGTTCAAGCCGTTGGCCAAGTAATATTACAATTTCACGTCTCTAGTGGGGGAGGGGGGCGCCAGTGCGATCAAACATTACTGTAACACTTGATACCCTATATACGCAAAGAGACCCGCATCATCCTGAGTAAAATGAGGCGGTCTTCTCCGGGAACGTTCCAGATCGCTTTTTCAACGGCTTTGGGACTGGGATCTGGGGTTGGAGTGGTGTTCTCTGGGTGTTTTCTCGTCTGGTCTTTTTGATGCTGTCTCGTCTACAGTATGCTAATGCTATTTCTTGTCTTCTCTCTCTCTCTCCTCTGTCCTCTGTCCTCTCCCCTAAATATGGGTGATATACAGTATGGTCCGCGTCCGCGTGTGGTCGAACCTCAAGGCAAGTCTAGATTCACCCGTTCAACCAGGGTCTCTGAACGACGGGGCAGTGGGGTCTATAGGACATCCCAAGCAAAACAAAGCAATTCTGGACCTGACTGGTCGTCACTGGCCGTCACTGGTCGTGACTGGTCTTCCCTGGTGGTCTTCAGCAAGTCGACCGTTGGACCCGAAAAACCGGGTTGAGAACACGAGTTCTTTAATTTCCTTTTCGCTTTTTTTCTCCCTTTTTTTTTCTCGATTTTCTCTTTATTTTCTCTCGATTTTTCCCCTGGTTTTGGGGGGGATTTTAATTTCGGGTTGGAATGTCTTCATTTCCTTTCTGATGTTCGCCTTTTCCCTTTAATTTCCGCGGGCCTGAAACACATGTCAAAGGATCAGCACTCTCTCGTTTACGTCGTTTAGAAGCTCTCCGAAATCGAGTTCACCTCACTGAGCTCCCTGAGCTCTCTCCTCCTGGTAGTGGATCCTTTCAACGTTCGTAGTTGATCTTTACTCTCTTCAGGCGTCAGGCTTCACTCTGACTGTACGGTCTCCACTAACTCGGCTTCAATTTCATCTTCCGCCCTTCCGCGCCAAACGGGTCCCGGGTATTGACCGAGGCCGATCATACAAGAAGGAATGAAACGAGAGAAACGACAGAGAGAGAGAGAGAGAGAGAGAGAGAGAAGCGGTCAGGGCTATGGTCAGACGCGGCACACGAGGTGATGATACAGCTTCACCCTACTCAGTACAGGTGACAGGGTTGTTGGAGATAGACTAGCCAATAATCGGACTCGGTTGGGACGTCGGTGGAGGGGACATGGGGAGGCAAACGTTGGATCATCGCGACTATGACTTAAGTGGTAGTGGCCGAAGAGCTGGTGGCGCTGAAGCGGAGGTTTTCTGCTCTATTTATTGCACGATCGCCCTAAATGTCCGACACAGACCCGTTGAGACCCGGTTTTTCTATTGGGTCTCTCTGGCTTCATTTCCCTGTCGTTTCATGCAGTTAATTTACTTTCCCCCCCCCCCTCTCCTCCTGAGTACTGTATGAACCCGGTCTGCTAACTGTACATGTACAGTATCTCGGAGATTTTACGGTTCCACTTAGATCATATGCAGTGGATCGAACGCTGCTGTCAAGGGGGAGGAGAAGCAATAGTACGGAGGACATGTCTCTGACTCCCTACTCCCTATTCCCTACACTCACCCAGCTTCTTCCTCTCTCTCTCTCTCTCTCTCTCTCAAAAAGACCGAAAAGTGGGTATAGGGAGAAATAGAGACATCAAATAAGACCCGATGCAGAAGGAGGAGTCAACGTCTGCCGGACTTGACTAGCTTTCGGCCGGATCTTTAAGCTGCAGGACCAATAGCGGGCGACGAGTTGGCTGATGAAGGGCTCGTGGGCTCCACCGACTCCATTTGAAACACTTTGCCTTGTGGGGGGGGGGGGAGAGAAAGGTCTTCTAGACCGTCCATACTGATATAGACTGTATAGGAACCGGTTCCTGGAGTAGAATAGAAGAGTCGATTTCCACTTTATCTGCTGGTTCTTGTCCCCCTCCCGTCCCGTCTTCTAGACCATAAGAGGTGGACTCGCGTTCCCAAACCCCGTCGAAAAAGTGACAGGTCTGGACTCTGTTGATCACAGGGGAGTCCATGGTTAACCTGCGAAGGGTCTGGAGAGCTGACATTGGCATCGCCACGCTTGCGGCCCGTGAAATGACCTGTGTTTCGGACTTGATGCCCAAGATTGATACATCTCCTGTCACAACATGCACTCCTTTTTTTTCTCTCTCGCTCCTGTCTTGCTTTGGGCATCTTTCAGGACGAGGGGCAATAGGCCATGATAGTTAATTATAGAAATCTGAAAGGGACATGCGTTGGCGTTTTTTCTTTGTTGGATTGATGAGACTTGGTTTGTTGTCCGCGTCCACGATTGAAAAAAAAAAAGAAATGGGCAGGTGTCGATCTTGAGAATCTCACTGAAAGAAAACCGAGTTGGACTCGACATTTGGTCAGTTGGATTTGTCTGATATCCACACACCCTTTGATCTGAGCGTCGATAGCCTCGTGAGGTGATTGAGAATCACTCGAGAGACTACGCCGTTCCAACAAAGAAACATAAAACAATGAAAAGTTTTGGAACCATACGTTCCGTAGAAAATAAATTCAACTAAAGTCCTCGTTTGAAAAGCACAATCCCCGAATCCAGGACACAATCTCAAGTAACTACGCGTCAATATGGCTCCCAAGGCCAGAAGAGGTGCCAAGGGGAAAAGCTTAAGCTGGCGAGTAAGTACTCGGCGACTCGAAGCATGCGGTGGGCCCTAACATGATCCTAGTCAGGTATTCCTACGGGCTGGAACCCCGAGGTAGAAGATTCAACCGACATTGGGTTCCCCAACGCAGAGGTTCAGTGCTACCGCAATGCAACCCTTCAATTGCTGTTGCATGCGCCGGTACTGTGCAACTGGCTCAACTGGTATAAGAATCACCATGCTCCTGTAGGGTATACCTGCAAGCGCGGCGACAAGGGCACAGAATGCAAGGTGTGCCAGTTTCAAGCCCTCTGTGCCACCTACTGGGATGCCGGTGCTGGCAATTGGAAGACTGCACTCAATAAGATCGCCACTTCGGTATATGCAACATGGAGAAAAGATGCCGCAGATGAGCAATCCGACCTTTCGGAGTATCTCGAAGAGATTGTCACCCAGCTCATTGAGGACACAAAGCCAATGTTGTATGTAATTGTCGCGATCACCGTGTTCCCAATGTCCCGACTAACAAGACTCAATCAGCCGATGTGATATCGAAAATGCGCTCAAAGTGGAGATCATCGAGGTGAAGAAGTGCAAAGGCGACAAAAGCTGTGCGCCCAAATTCAGGGCAAGCAAGGAGGTCTTCCTGAGGCTCCAGTGGCCAGCGGAAATTGAAGAGTCAGCCTCGATCGAGGATATGATGGATGAGATGTTTACCAACGAGGACGCACGAGGCAACTGTGATACATGCGGAAATGCCACCATTTGGACAGAAAGATTGGGACATCCCCCCGACCTTCTCCTCGTCCAAGTCAATCGTCTCAACATGGCGGGTGAAAAGATCGCTGATCTGATCAAAGTGCAAGAGAAGATCACTCTTTTAGGCACATATTTTGATGAGCGCGCAGCGACAAAAGATAGACTCAACAAAGACATCAAATATGAGCTCACCAGCGTGGTTTTGCACAAAGGAGCGGAGGCTGGGGGAGGTGGCCATTATACCATTGCCGTCAAGGGTCGTGGAGGTACCTGGAAGCATTTGAACGATGCCGTACTCACAGAACTCGACTTTGGTGATCTCGGAAGCAAAGAAGTCGGCCATGACGCCCATATCTTCAGCTATCGTCGAATTCCTACACATGACGACGCCCCTGGTCCTGAAGAACTCGAGGTAGAGCCCGCGGAGATAGACCTAGAGAGCCAGGTCGCAGTTGCTTCCAACCAGGGTCTCTCTGGTACAACGGGTTCCTCTAATACAACGGAGAACAGAGTAGGACAGTCTACGGAGATCCAAGACTTGATTGCTGCAACCGTGAAGAGTATTGTGCCAGAGATTTATAAGGTAATCAAAGATTCAGAAGCAAAGGAGAAAGCGAAAGAAAAAGCCAAGGAGAAAGAAAAGAGCGCAGAAGAAGCAGATGAATCCAACCCTTTGGACTTCGATAGGGGACGTGGAACACTCCGAATCACCGTATCTGGCGATAAAGAAGGAGATCCAGCCCGATTAGATCTCTTTGTGAAAGGTTTGGTGCATAACAAGATTGAAGAGGACAAGAAGGATGCAGAAAAGGAAAAATTAAAGGCAGTAAAGGCAGCAAAGAAGCCGCCACCCAAAGCCAAGGGTAAGAAGAGAAAAAAGGCTGGGGCTGGAGGCAAAGCCAATGCCAAAGTCCCCAGAACGAGCGACAAGGGTGGAGAAGCAGAGACAGAGGTAGAGGCTGAAGCAGACGCCGGAGCAGGTGATGGAGCTGGTGATGGAGCTGGAGCTGGAGCAGAAGCAGAGTCAGAATCAGTCAATCTATCTGATGGGGAAGAATATATAGAGGCAGAAAAGTAGGAACGAATCGATGTCAAGCGCGAAGCCCGGGAAAACCACTTGGTCAACTCCATCTCTCTGCACTATGCATTCCTCCCACACTCCAGACTTCATCAATCGTCTCATCAGTCAAATAGCCCAATATGATGTCTGCGAGACCGATTCTCCCACTGAGATCGCAAAACAGACTCAAGCATTCCCAAGCCTCTCGCCGGCCCAGCTCGTCACTCTCAAACCACTCATGTTGACACTGCATTGCCTTTTCCCGAACGACATGCTGCCAGCTCTAGACATCCTAGACCGAAAACTCGTGCGTCGGGTGATGCGTGCAGACCGACCAACGCCCGCGAACCAAGGTGGAAGAACCTCACCTCATGGTGGGCCCAAAGCGGCAGAAGCCAACGAGGACCTGTTCATCGTGATCTCAGCCTCAGTACCTCCTCGCCTAGATGCATCGCCCCTAAGCTCCACGCACGATCAGGAAAAGGGCTACGAGGTTCGGCTGCGTGCCTGGAATTGCAGCTGTCCCACATTCACCATCTCGGCATACAGGGACACCCACCAAATCTTAACACCAGCTGCAGAGGACAAACCCGATCCTGAGAGACTCCCGAAGGGCTCTGTTGACTACCCTTTCGGCGGGACGATGGCCCGTGGTACAGCTCGGCTGTCACCTCCTGTGTGCAAACATATCTTAGCCTGTATCCTGAGTGTACGATGCCCAGGGTTGTTTGGGGTCGATCAGGATGGCGGCTGTGTGATTTCCAAAGAGGAACTAGCGGGATGGTGTGCTGGCTGGGGTGGCTGACCTGACTCGGGGATATGCTAAAACATAACAATATGAATCTGATCGAGCAGGACATGCCCTCTGGTCTATACGTGAACCACCGTCGTGTTTGACCTGTGGTATGACAATTGTCTAACAGCGGCACTACGGGAATCATGCCGAGCATACGCTAGTTACATTGGATTACGGAGTCTGAATGCTGTCTCTCAAAGAACGACTATCCAGATGGAGAGCACAGTCGACAGCTATGGTTGAACTGCAGTTGTGCTAGACCCCGAAGCCTTGAAAGTGACTTGCAGCTACACGCCGGGTCTACCTTCACGTCTGCAAGATGGCAAACCAAAGCTGCATGACGGGTAATTGCACTGTTACCACGGAACATGGTAGAAGTTATGTTACCGACTAAGTACTGGCACAAAGATAACCGGATGTGGGCAGTCAAGGTCGTGTCTTTAGCCCTCCACGTAAAATAGAGAGATTGAGTAGTCTGAATGGTCGTATTCAAATGTATCGTTCTAAGAAAACTTAAGATTTGCTTAGTTCTTCTTGCCCTTGTCGGAGCTATCCTGGTCCTCCTTCTGATCGCCAGTTGGCGAACCGGCCTTCTTAACGTCTTTGTCTCCCTTGACCGCATTCTCCTGCTCCCGCTTTGAGTCACTCTCCTCCTGCTGTTGTCGGTTCTGAATCTTGTTCTCAATTAAGTCGTGGAAGGCGGTAATGGCACGGATCAAGCTGCTGATGTAGATGGCCATCAATTGATCGTTGGTCTTGACACTCATTGCGCGAGCTAGCTCGCTATTCTCGATCTGTGGCTCTTGACCGCTGATCTTCTGCGTGGCCGGGGGGTGGACAGGTTGGGAAGGAGATTGAAGACATCCTGGAGGTTGCCCAAGATGGCGTGGTTGACGGGCAGTTCCTTGTCGAGGACTTTCTGGAGGTACTGGCCGATATCGCGTAGTCGCAGATGCAATCCTTGCAGTGACTGCAGCTGCGACGTGATACGAGTGGAAAGTGTGCCCACTGCAACGTCCCTGATGTCTCGGAGGAGGTGCTCTACGCCGATCTCCTCTGCTTCTTCGGCTTCAATTATCGATGGGGTGTGCACGAATGTCCGGGAGGTTGTTGTGCCATCCTGCGAGGGTAAGGGCATCGGTCAGCAATTCGAACACGACATAATCTCTGAATTGACTCAAACTCACATCCTTGATCTCATCCACGGCAAAGTAAGCATCTGTAGGCACGCCAACCTCCTTCGGTTGCACATCAACAATGACCAGCAAAGGGTTGGGAGTGTATTTCTTGAACAGTTCATTGATCTCCAAATCCGAAGCGCGCAGCTTGGGACCAGAGTGGTACCAGCCGACTAGCTTCTCACGAGCGTTGATCTTCTTGAACATATCTCTCATCGACTCAACGAAGTTGTGGTCCAAAAACCATACGGATGGGTCCTTCTCATCTTCCTCGAAGGGCACTAGAAACAGAAACACAGATGTCAGCTCGACTTGTGATGTTGGCTTGATCGAAGCTTGCACTTACCGGCAAAACTGTTTGATACCCGAACATTGTCACCCGAGTTCTCACCAAGCAGCACACCTACAACACGTTTCCGGGTACCCTTGGCTGTCCGTCCATAGTGATCTGCGACAGAGAGAAGGACTAACGGGGCAACCGTCACGGAGCGGTTGACGAGGGATAGTGTTTCCGCCGTCGTGGCAGGCATGGTGAAAGAGACAGGGGGGTTTGATCGAAGGGAATCAGATGCTCTGAGATTGATTCAAGCTCGCAGATCAAAGAAAGACTTGTGGAAAAGCAGATCAACGCGAACTGGGAGAGTGTGGATGGAAAGCGATGATGCGCAGGTGCTGAGAGCTCTCCGGCGCCACAGAGCTGCGCCATGAGGCTGGTGTATTAGTCAGCACCTGCCTCAACCTTGGGAGGTTCCTCAGGAACTGACGAGTTGAGACTAAGAACAAAAAAAGGTCTATGGTTCTATATAGCTGTGGCGATAGAAAACAAGAATATCCACAGTCAATCGCATCTCAACATGTAAATAAAGCAGGTTATGCTTATGGATTGCGACGGATGCCGCGCCCGTGCTCCGAACCTCGGGCTCCTAGTGCGATTCTTCCCTTTCCCCATTTCTCCGGTTTCCCGTCCACTCAAGCCTTTCTCTTCACATCACCTCCTCTCCTCTCTACACTTTTACAATGGCTCCCATCACTGAAGAGGCCGTCTCTGGTCTGAAGGACACCATCCACAAGCTCGAGGCTAAGGTGTCCGAGCTTGAGGGTCGCCTTTCCAATGGCGGCCAGCCCAAGTCTGTCGCCGAGCAGATGCGCATCATCCTGATGGGCCCTCCCGGTGCCGGTACGCGATCCAATCAATTAGATTGAAGGCTGCGGAGTGGTTATTGACAATTTTTACCAGGCAAGGGTACCCAGGCCCCCAACCTTAAGGAAAAGTACTGCGCGTGCCACCTGGTAAGTAGAAGTTTGTCTGAACACAGCATGAGCTCTATCCGCTAATACGCTTCTTGGTTAGGCCACCGGTGACATGCTGCGGTCACAGGTCGCGAAGAAGACCGACCTCGGAAAGGAGGCTAAGAAGATCATGGACCAGGGTGGTCTCGTCAGCGACGAGATCATGGTCAACATGATCAAGAGCGAGCTTGACAACAACACCGAGTGCAAGAACGGGTGCGTACATACTGTGTTTTCCTCTCGGCTTGGTCAGGAATACTAATAGACGGAAAAGTTTCATTTTGGATGGTTTCCCCCGAACCGTCGCTCAGGCTGAGCGTCTCGATGGCATGCTCGCGGACCGCAAGCAGACGCTCCAGCACGCCGTTGAGCTGCAGATTGACGACTCCCTGCTTGTCGCTCGTATCACCGGCCGTCTGGTTCACCCTGCCTCCGGCCGTTCCTACCACAAGATCTTCAACCCGCCCAAGGATGACATGAAGGACGATATCTCCGGCGAGCCGTTGATCCAGCGTTCCGACGACAACGCCGACACCCTGACCAAGCGTCTGGCTACCTACCACGCTCAGACCTCCCCCGTTGTCGACTACTACAAGAAGACCGGCATCTGGCGCGGCATTGACGCCAGCCAGGAGCCTGGCCAGGTCTGGAAGAGCATCCTCGGTGTCTTCCGCCAGTAAACGATTTAGGAGGTTCAATTGCATTTCAAAAGGATATCAGGGGGGTAATTTGTGACAATTTGCCAGTCAAGCTGCCTACCGTTTTTCTTATGTTGGTTTCTTAATTGGTGGCTTTTTGCTGGCTGGCGTTTTCGTCCACATATAGACCTGGATTGATCCCCTTGACCGCCATGTATAGTAGTATGTGTGTACCTTTGAGTACCGAATACACTCAACCGGCATACATTCCAATCTTCTTACTTGTCGTATGTCCGTTTTATATTGAACAAGGTGATGTCTTCTAGCCATAACATAAATTCACTCGTATATATAGGTGTGTCGACTTCTATAGCTGTACAGGGTATTCGGTGGACTCGATCTTCTGGGGATATGTCAAACCACCCTGCTTTCGCACCTCATCCATGACCTCCATAATCACAATGCTCTCTTCCCATGGCAAAGACTCACTCTCCTTCTTGCCATCTCGGAGACAACGAGCAACCTCATCAGCTTCCCAGAACATGCCGTGGCCATTATTAGGGAATGGACACTGGACTTCACGAATCTCGCCGCAACCCTTCTTGGGAACGACACGATAAGACTGAGGGCGGAATGCCGGACCAGCAACCTGGATCTCGCCCTTGGTGCCTTGGATCCGAATTGCAGGACCAGCAGATCCCTTCTCGTCTGGATCCGTGGAAACACGAATGCTAGTCATGGCCACACCATGCGAGTGCTTGGGGTGTCCATCATTGGAAGGAGTGCTGGTGGGGAAGGTCAAGAGCATAGTAGTGGACTCATCAGCACCAGTGAGGTGGTAGGGAGTGATCTGGGCAGAGACGGTAGGCGCCTTCCTCTGGTCTCGAGGCAGCGTGTGGTAGAGAGTCTGGAAAACCCAGGTAAGAGAATAGATGCCCACTAACCAATTCAGTCAATATAAAAGGTTCTGCGAGAAAGTGTATCATCTTGAGAGCTTACAGTCCAAGAGGGCACCACCGGCCAAATCAGGGTTGACCATACGGTGCTTTGTACCCCATTTCTCCTCAACATCATCACCAAAGCTGGTATCCGAAATGACACGAAGCACCTCGCCAATCTCATTCTTCTGAATGAGCTCCCGAATCTGAATACTGAGTGGGAAGTAGCGAGTCCAAACGGCCTCCATCAGGAAGAGGTTCTTCTCGCGGGCGATATCGACCAGAATCTTAGTCTGTGCAGCGTTGACGGTCAACGCCTTTTCGCACAGAACATTCTTGCCGGCCTCCAGTACCAGCCTGACGTTCTGGTAGTGATGAGAGTGGGGGGTTGCGACGTAGATGACATCCACGTTAGGATCGGCCACGAGCGACTCGTAGTCACCGTAGGCGGCGCAGGCGGTGGTGATGCCCATCGCTGTGATGAACTCCTCGGCCTTTGCTTTGGAGGAAGATGAAGCGACAGCAACAACTTGATGGGCTACGTCCGTGACATCACGGCGGGTTGGGTCGTTGAGAAGGTCCTTGGTGAACACTGCCAGCAGTGGTTAGGTGAATTTCTATACATCTCATATGGCATTGAAGTGAGCCTACTCTCAGCGATCCAACCAGTGGCTATGACATGATTAGCTTCATGATCTCATATCTTCATCGTTGTGGTCTACATACCCAGAATACCCCATCGAACAGTGTGTGCCATGATGAATGTAGTTTGCTCGGGAACAGGAATCCGAAGGTGTAAGAAGCAAGAATCTCAAGCCCCAACGTCGTATTTTATATAAAATATTTATAATCAGTGGAGCAATGGGAAGCTCCGCACATGCTCCGAGCGGGGCAGTCCGCGAAGAGCATCATGTCAGACATACAACAAGTTATAGAGTCAAGTATAGGATAGATATCAATTCGCTATCAGGGAGATGTTCCCTATGCAATGCAAAGAACCATGCGAAATATATATGGGTATGTTACAAATAAAAAAAGAAATCAAGCCTGTTCTGTTTTGACACGCGTTTTCTGACCTGGAGACTCAGTTCCCTATGTAGAATTAGTATGGAATGATGCACAAAGAATCTCATGTAAACTTACTTCAGCCTTGCGCTTGCCCAGCACCGATTCTGGCGTACCAGTGCGCGCTTGTGGCGTACCACGCGCCGGAGCAGGGCCATCCTTGGTAACCTCGGCGTAACAACTGGCATGGAAGACACGGGCTCCCACTTTAGTAGCATCTTGCCAGATCCAGTCCTGAACATCTTCAGACCAGGTCGACTCAAACATCTCCTGGCAGATGGGGCATGGAGTGTTGCGTAGTGTGGCATCGTTCGGGGCCCGAATCCAGGGTTTGGGGGGCTCTTGCTTGGTGCCATCTGTGGAATCGACACCTTCCGTAGCTTGAGGATCCAGAGCGCCGCTGTCATCGCCAGCTTCCCGGGATTTGATCCAGTCCTATCAAAGGTGAGATTTCTGTCCCGGTATATCTAGAAGAGCAAATGAACATACCTTTTCATCGACGTACCAGCTACGAGTCTGGGCTCGCCTGGATGCCTCCGTCATGCGCTGGTTAGTCTTGAAATGCCAATCCAGATGGCGTGCCTTCAATTCCTTTCCTTCCTCCGAAGCAAAGAATCGACGACCGCAAGTTCCGCATTTGTTGGACCTAGAGTCGTAGAGAGAGACAATGAGTCCTGGTCGGGGGATTCTCAGAGACACGTTGTTCATGGGAACGCCAGATGAGCCATTGGAAGGAGGTGCTTGAGTCGGAAAAGAAGGAGGCATAGATTGCATGCCATTGGGCATCATGAACGGCAATGAAGGCCCCGGAGCCGGAGTCGAGCCCGAAGGTGGGACTGGAGAGGGCGTAGAGCCACCAGGTAGAAGACCGCGCGCCCGTAGGGCCGCTATAAGAGGGTTCTCGGGTGCTGCTGGTTGTGGAGTGCTGCTTTGTTGGGGAACGGGCATCTGAGGCAGCACAGCGGGAATTTGAGGAGGCGGAGTTGGGTGTTGACGTGAAGCGGTGGCTTTGATCAGCTCGGCAAGAGTTCCAGGGTTCAACAGGTTTTGGAAGGGTTGAGAGACTGGCTGCACGGGTGGAACAGGGAGGGATGGAGGAGCTACTGGTCCATTCGAACCAGCGTTAGAGGGAGATGGGGGTTTGGTGGCGGCAAGCATGGATACTTGGTCGCGGACAAGTTTCAACTGTTCCTGAGTTAGCTGCTGCCTCTGTAGAATACCCTGGAGATCTAGCAGCGCTTTCAGACGTTGTTGACAGGCAGGATTGAATGGGCTATTCGCAAAGTCATTCCTAGCAGACGCAATCAAGCCATCCAAATCGCGGTTGAGGTAATTTAGGTCGGTGTCTCGGTTGTTAACGGGAGGCGTCTGGAGCTTAGGTTAGCTTAAACGTATGATTGGGGCGAATGAGATCTTACCGAGGTATGGCTGCTACCTGGATGCTGAGGGTTTCTAGGAATGTTCTGAGACTGGCCATTGTTCCACCCAGTTGGAGTTGTATTTCCGCGACGACTAAGAAAGTCCGGTTGGCCTCTGGCCTGCTGCTGTTGTAGAGCTGCGGTGCGTGCCTTGATGAGGGCGCTCTCAATGTTGCGCGTGAGCTCAGGAGGGAAAACAGGGCGAGTATCGAGGGACCCTGGAGCTGGTTGCTTCCAGGTATTCAGCATCTCATCCAGCTTCTTCCGAGTCATCGGATCCACTGATGAGTATGCATTGATGAAGATCGAGAACATGTTTCGGCCAAGGAAGAGTGTGTAGGGACTACCAATGTTTTTGACAATGGAATCGACTACATACAGGGCTGGGAGCTTGTGAGGTGGTGGCGTTTGTTTCTACAACATGTTAGAATCATCTCAAGCTACGCGCAAGAGGAGCACCTACTGAGCTAATATGATTCTCCAAGACCCGCGAGATAGCCTGTGCATATTCTGTGTTCTCTTTGGCGATGACGGTCAGGTTGCGGATTTGCGAGGCATCATTTGAAACCAAGTCCTCTAGGGAGCTCTTGTAGTCCTCGGCGATCTCGTCGGATATGAGACCGGACATGACGGGGTATGGAAAATTCGACGGGCGAAGAGGATGTCGAGAGGATATCGGATTCTGCGAGGCGTTCACGTTCACGAGGGACCTGTTGCTTTTGAGTTGTCTTTCTCTCACTTCTGCTGTTTTCTCTCTTCTTTTTTTTCTTCTTTCTTCTTCTCTCAATGGAGATCTCTTCAGATGGTTCTCTGGTAGCTTCTTTTTTTTCCGTTGCAACTATCACTTGCTTTTCTTCTTAGACCTTGTCCTCGTTCCAATGAACAGGTTCTCTTGGACGGTCAACACAAGATGGGAGAAATAGTCGGAACTTGTAAATGCTTTCTAGCTATCTTCGCGAGAACCTGAAACAAAAGGATGACGCTTTCCCTCAGTCCAACCCAGCCCGTGACCTTCCAGAGACCTTGTGTATCTACCGTCCTTCAAGTCAATGATCGCCGGGGAAGAGGGAAGAAATGATTCCGTATTACGTCTCAGGGAATAAACCACCAAGATGCAGAGAATCAAATGGGAGAGCAAAGGTTCAGAGACAGGGATATACGAGAATGCAGCGCTGTAGAGTTAAGGAAAGATGTTGAAGAGGGGCGCGAAAGAAGTGAAGAGAAAGGGATTGCCCAGGTCAGGTGACCGGGGTATGACGCCAGCCGCCATCGCATTCGACTTCAACTCAACTCAACAACTTGATACGAGTTAACGTTACTTCGAATCCCTCACAATGAAGCTCTCTGTTGCTGCAATCCTGCTGGGTGCTTTGCCTATGGTGCTGGCTGCCAAAGTGCTCAAGTCTGTGATCGTGACTTTCCCCAAGGGAACGCCTGACTCGGTCGTTACGCAGGCCAAAGATTCTCTGGTGGCTTCTGTACGCAGTGCACCTCTGCTTTCATGAAGCCGTTGTAGTTATTTACTGACATTTTTAGGGTGGTGTGATCACTCATGAATACCGTAAGTTCCTTTCTGGATCTCCCTGAGTACCACATTGATGCTGATGCTATCTATAGATTTGATCAAGTATGGTCCCCGTTTTTCCTCGCAATTCATACGATCCTTCCAGACCTCGAAATACTTGCACTTTGTACGAAGTACAGTCCTTGATATCTAACCATATATTTAGTGGTTTCGCTGCCGAGGCACCCGTGAACGCTCTCCAGAGCCTTACCACACAAGACACCCGTTACAAGCCGGATATAGAAGAGGATAAGATTGTGAATGCGAACGGAAATTATGTGGGTGATGTTGGAGCCTTTTAAATGTCTTGCGCAAGTACGCTAGGGACGATTTGATGCTGAAGCTGGCCCTGGACATCTAATGAAGATCCACTGGGCTACGGTGTTTTGGTGTTTATGTGGAGTTAAATTTGCCCATCTGGCACATGAATACAGGGGGGTTATTTTTTTGGTATTTAGGTAACATGGACTGATCACAATTGAATGACTTGCATGTAAAAAATACTGGTGCACTTCATAGAGCCTGGGGGGGACTGGAGACGATCATCCCCCGCTAGTCGAGTTCGGTCCTTTGGCCCCCCCCGACGCGCGTGGATCCCAAACTCCCTTGAAACCAAAGACATCTCTTTGCTTTTACAAATGCTGTAGTCTCAGGGACCTTTGATTCTCTGAAACGCGTCACTATCGCCAGCATGGCGTCGGAACACATGGTCACCAAGGTTTTGTTGGAATGGATCAACAGCTTTTCCTTGGGCAAGACACTCCGCGCCACCGATGAATTGACTGATGGAATTATCATATGGGAAATCCTGCAGGACATTGACCCTCAGTTTTTCCTCGAGGAAATCCCAGAGCGTAACCCATCCGACCATTGGGTGGCCAAGTGGCAGAACTTGAAACACATCCACAAGTTGCTACTGAACTACATTCGACACCAGAACGATGACACCCTACCCTCCGGTCTCGATCCTTCGCCCGATCTCGAAGCGATTGCTGAAAAAGCGACCGGTAAGGAGACGAACAAGCTGCTAAAGCTTCTCCTGATCGCGGCTATCAGCTGCCCGAACGCCGGCACATACGTGCAAACCCTCCAGGAACTTAGCACTTCGACACAGGAGGGGCTCAAAGATATAATCGAGGAGGCGCATAATGGTCAACATGAACCGATGGATGCTGCAGATGAACTACGGGAAGACCTAGCCAAACACGACCGCCCCGTCGACCTCGAGCTGCAGTTCGAAGAGCGCGTCGGAAAGGTGCTTGCGGAGAATGATCGCCTGACGCACGAGAAGAAAGAGCTAGAAAAGGCACTGGAGGACCTGCACAACCGCTTGGCGCGTCTTCAGGAGAACAACGATACCCTCCAGAATCGCCTTGCTTCCACCGAGGACCGGCTTGTTACACTGAAATCTGGAAAGGGCGATGTCGGATTCAATGCAAAGGCATTGGAAAGCAAAACTCGCCAACAGGATGACCTCATTGCGTCCCAAGAAGCGAAATTGACAGCCGCGCAAGACGAGCTTGACAGTCTCCGCATGACTGTCGAGTCCTTGCGGGTCAAGAATCAACGCTATCAGAAGCTGCAGGATGACTATGATGAGCTTCGAACTGAAAAGGACCAGCTTGCACGCAAGGCTAACGCAGCCGAGAAATACCGCCAGAAGCTGCAGGCCAGCCAAGATTTCGAGAAAGAGAACCAGACTCTTAAGAATCAGATCAAAGACATTCAGCAACAACTGAAGGAGTCTGACTCACAGCAGCGGTGGTCCTCCGAGCGCGACGTGGAATTGGAAGAATACCGCAAGCTTCTGCCACGCATTGAGCAGGAATGCAACGAGATCCAGAACCTAAAGAAACAGCTTGAGTTCAACAATCATGCCTTGACAGAGCGACTAGAAAGTGCAGACGAACAGCATGAAAGAGATGATGCCTTGATCAGCGAATTGCGCGAGCGCCTCGGAGAAATGGACGGTATGCCAGGCAGTTCGTCCCCGGGCTCTGAGACACCGAAGATGCAAGGAACATTGCACAAGGATTTTGAAGCCATCGGGGTCAAAGAGTCTCAGCTGTATGTATACTTTTTTTTTCTGACTTCTTGTCTAATGCTTACTGTTTTACAGCAAATCTGAGAACGATGACCTGAAGCGAGAAATGGATTCCCTCAAGGCACCTTCGACAGCTGTAAGTCATCTATAGACTTACTAAACTGAATTGAGACTAACTGTTATCAGCCGGAATCCCACGCAGAAGGTTTCTCTGAAGGTTTTGCTGCGTCTGTACAGCTGGCACGCGTCAACTCTACACAAAGGTATGAACATTAGCGATTTTGGTCGGTGTTCTCTAACCCATTTTATAGTGACGAGTACTGGAAACTCTATGAGAACTATACTGGGGTGCTCCAAAAAATTGCAGAGGTCCAAGATACTCTGGAAACTGCCAAGAAGGATCTTTCAGATACACAAGCCGAACGTAAGTCATCCATTGCTTCATATCCCGCATCACCCTTTGCTTACAATCTCAAGTTGGCCTCGTCAATGAAGAGCAGGTTGACATGCTTCGCGGCCTCGAAGAGCACAACTCAGCTGAATTGACGAAAATTCGAGGTGATTGGGAAAGTCTCACCCATAATGTCCATCACCTGGAGGCTGAAGTTGATGCCAGCCAGACTCTTGTGCGCGAAGTTTGCGCAGAGCGAGAGGAGCTGCGCAAGATGCTCGACAACAAGCAAAGCGAAATCAGCTCTGAGGACCAGGAAGTGATGAAGGAGATGCAGATGCTGCTGGGCGAGTTTGAAACTCACAATGAAGGCGGCGAAGTACCTCAGAAATCGAGCTTCGACCTGTTGAAACAGTGCGCCGGGGTTCTAGAGAAAAATGTTGAGCGACTTGCTCAACGTGCCGAGGTCAGTCTTTGGTCATTATCACCTTTTGAAGCTCCTGGCATGCTAACCTGCACTTATGTGTAAAGTATATACAGCAGCAAAACGAGCTCGTCAAGTCACTTCGTGAGCGTATGAAGAACTACGAAGAAAATCTGGACAGTGGCATTCCCAAAGAAAGAGAGGTAAATCACAGATCAATCACTCTTCCCCCGCCAGACTATAGCGGTATACTAATGATCTCCATCAGCTTGAACTCCAGAAGACTATTGATAGCCAAGCTCGAGAACTGAGCCTCGTGGGCTCAGCTTGGTATCACCTCCAGAGCCGGTGGCAGAACAACAACATGACGGTATCACGATATCGACATGGAGCTGGCACAGGAGATTCCAAGGGATGGCTAGCAAAGCAACGAAGTGCTGTTGCCGGTCAATAGAATGTCATATCAACCCGGTAGATATATTGTTACATCTGCATTTTGCGCCTTGCTCATTGTTACATTGGGGTTTCTGTTCATATCCCCACCATACATACCTTCTTCTTGTGGTTATTTGCGCATGGGCAATAGAATCCATGTTATTTGAATAAGGAATAGAATTTGTTATACCTTTTTTTTATAGAACAATATTATCTTTGCACAAATGTAGTGTACAGTTTGTCCATGATGTAAGAAGTAGAGTGAGTTCGTCGCATTTCGGAAATATGAGCTAGGTAAACCCCCGTGGGAAAATAAACATGTCTATGAGAAATACAAAAACGGCCTGGGGAATTTGTCCTAGTCCGTAAAGAAGAGAGAAAAGGGAGGGGGGATCTTGCAACAATTATGGGCAACAATTATGAACCAGAGGTCTCTATACAACCTGACCGAAAGCGGGAATCAAAGTCTGAGCCAGCCAGAAGCTGAAGACCAACTTGGGACCAGTCATCAGCAGCTTGGGGGTCAAGCCCTTGAAGAAACTGGTGGGACCCTCGTGCTTGAGCATCTTAGAGATAATCTTGAAGCCAGACTCGGGGTTCTCGAAGTTGCGGTTCTGGATACGGGTCTTGATCACGTCCAAGGGAGCGGAGACGATGAGAGACGCGCTGGCACCGCAGACGGAGGCGACAAAGTTCTGTCCCCAGCTGGCGGCGTTGTAATCGGACAGGTTGTAGATGTACTCCTTGGCGAAGGCAGAACCACCGAAGAG